ATAGTCCTTTTCTTTTCAGAGTCCACTTTCTGACACTGAAGAATTAAACAAGCAACTGCTTGTTGATCAGAATTTGAATCCTGCTTCTTGTCTCACTGATAATTATTTCACTGAACAATATACTGGTGTTGCTCCTTCTACCATTTTGCCATCCTCTTTAAGAAACCAATATAGAGACAGCTTTTCAGAATATAAGGCCAACTTTCCTGATGTTTCTCCAGTGTTAAATACACCACCACCTTCACCTGAATCTTTGAACTCAGATCTGCCTTTTTGGAGTACCTTTAGAAATTCCGACAACTTTTATTTTCCAGAACCAAATATTAATGAAATCAAATTGGATCTCAATCTTTACTGTCTTGTTTTGGATAAGCTGAGACACCTTTATCCTGGTTTAGCTAAGAGTCCTCATGAATTGCAACTGTTTGCCAAAAAACAAACTTTGGCTCTTCAGTTTCATAGATCTCAGCTGCACTATTCTTGCTCAGATGAGCCAAGAGCAATTACAAAAACTAATCCATTGCAGTTACCTTCTCCAAAAGAGATAGATGGTAACAAATTTCTTCATAATCTGTCCACTACCCTTTCTTCAAATGATAGAGACATAGACTATCTCACTCCAGAAGAATCTCCTACAAGCACTAGCCAGCGTTCTGCAGATATGTCTGATCTACGTTATGTTCTCAGTCCAACATATCGCAAGTTTCAAGCACAGCCATTTTCGGCCAAGTCTGAATGGAATTCTAAGCAGTTTCAAGACCTTACACCGAAAAATCCCCAGGTTGAATGGGGAATTGGTTTTAATGCTGCAGTAACAAAGCATGATCCTAAGGATACAGATAAATGTGATGAGCATCCTGCTATTGGTTCACCCAAAATGATCATGAAAAGAGTTGAAAAAGGAGGCTGGAATTCTACTATTCCTGTATCTGTTAACAGTAAGTTAAATGATGCCCTGAAATACTATAAAACAAGTCTTTAACCATTAAATTGACTTAAAAGCAATAACTCACTGTATCTTAAACAATTCAACAGTTTGGTAAATTGGTTTCTGATCTATTAAGTGCATTTTATTTAAGCTCCCCCACCCCAAACAAAAAAAACATTGCTCAACATTTTTAACTGTAAAATTTTAAAACCAATTCTTTCTACTGTAGCTAAAACTTCCAGCTTGAAATATCAAACTCCTAGCCCAGAAGACTGTTTACCCATTGGCTCAAATGAATTTCAGACTAATAATTGGCAACAGGTAAGTATGTTGTGTGGTTTTTTTGTTGTTTGTTTTTTTTTTGTCTAAAATCTTCATCTTTAATTTAAAGATCGAACAGTAACTTGTAATAGTTTATATTTTGCTATGTTCAACTTCTAAAAATGATGCTACAATTATTCTCAACTAACATGTTAGAAATGTTTCTCAGCCCCCTTTACCTGACACTTATGGGGAAATTCTCAAATTCAAAAGGATTTTCTGACATCCTAAACACACTTAACCTGAGGAAATTTTGTTTTTATTTAACCTTCCCTTCTAAATGCATTCAAATATAAATGTAGATTGCATCAATTTTGTAAGATGTCTAGTTAGTCTTGTTGATATCAGTAAGTCATATTGCATTATTTGTATGTAATGAATGCTGTATCTGTACTCTTTATTCCAGGTGTCAAGATTGGCTACTTGAACTTTTGTATGTGTGGTGTTAGTATGTAGAACTGATAAATTTCTTTTATAAAGAACTATAACACCTGTCATGCTCAATACTTTTTTTTTTACGTCACTACTAACACAATCTAATTAAGGTGGCTTTTGTTTTAAGATTATCAAAAAGAAGAAAAGACTTCAGTTTGCTGCAGAACAAAACAAGCAAGCTCTGCCAGCTAAAATTGATGCCAATACAAGGAAAGGGAACTATGAAAGACTTGTTCAAGTTATACTGGAAAGACTTCCAAATACAGACAGGCAAGAATACTTTAAAATTCTAGTTGAAATGATTCATAATTTCATTTGAGAAGGTGTAAAGTTTGACCCCCCCCTCGCCAACTTCAACGTTTGAGATTATTGCAGTATGTCTCTCAGCATAATCTGTAATTCCATTCCTTCCACTTTAAACATTAACATTATCCCACAGGCATACTTTTTTATTTACTAACAAAGTGAACATAAAATATTTAGATTCTTGAGGTTTTCTGTAAAAATTCTCTTGATTTGGCAGAACCAAGGTTGATGAACTGATTAGAGAAGTGAGACGCCGTAAAAATGGACTTGGAGGTTTGACAATGAGAGAGATTGTTCTTGAGGCAAAATCCATACAACACGAGAAGACTCGACTATATGTGACTACTCCAACAGTAAGTATAATTCCTATCTAAAGAATTTAATGGGATTTTGTATTTTAGGAAAGTTGGCTTTTTGCTTTAGTACTCTCATTCTGTGAGACACTGACAATGTACAATTCCATGTTATATCCAAATAGCTTAATGAGTACATGTGTATGTACTCAAATTAGTAACTCAAATGTTTTTGTAATAGTGTACAAATCTACAGAACTGACTGAAGTTTCACTTGTCAATAGTCCTGGGTTCTCTACTAGTATTATTGCTGCGTGATCTTTGGGATCATGCAGCAATAATAAAGTTAAGCATCGATGCTTAGTTCCTTTTTTGCTTATTGAAATGCTCTGAAGGATTAAAATTAGGTACTTCCACAAAAATGCAAAAGTTTAAAATGAAAAATCTTGCTTTTATTTTAGTTTTAATTTCAAGCCAATAGATCAAATTTAATATTCCCAATAAGCAAAACACTTAGATTAGTTTTTAGATACAGCAAAGTTAACTGGAAGATACCCCACCACCACATGGTTGTCTCTCAACACAATGCTAAAAAATAAAATTCTATTTGAATCTGTCCTGAAAATTTAAGAATTTCCAAAACAATTCATTCTTAATACCAAAATTACTCATACTAATATTTGGCCCTTCTAACACAATTTTTATCCAAAATTCAAATGTGCTAGAAAGGATTAAAAAAAAAAAAAAAAAATTTGATCTTAACATTTTGATAATAATTTTTTTTTTTTTTTTTTTATTATTATTGGGTTTGGTGCCTTTATCATGCTATGCTTCTTTTTCCAGAAATCTTTGGAGATACCTAATTAAAATGATACTTTAGCAGTTTTCCCAGCATGGCATTCAGTTACTGGTCTTGTTGCATTTTTTTAATTTTGAATGCATTAGTAGAAATGTTAAACTTAAAAAAAAAAAAAAAAAAAAAATTTGGTTGTTGGGGCAGAAATTTAATGTTGAACTCTCTTCATTCTTAGGTGGTTAAGAATGAAAACCAGTGTGCTCTTTGTGTTGAAGAGTTGAAGTTGAAACCCCAAAAACTCCTGGAATGTGGCCATAACTTTCATGAGGAGGTAAGATTGAAACACTTCATACATTATTATTTTCCTTAATATTACTTCGTGTGTAATTTTGCAGTTGAAATGTCTGATCTTTCTTTTCCTTTTTCTCCCACCCTAAGTGCATAATGGCCTGGGTATATCGTCACAAGAGATCCTGCCCAACTTGTGGACAACTGGTTTTGTTTCCTGAGGATTATCCCAAACTTGCTTAAGCGCTTGATTTTAAGCTATTTAAAATGGTAGGAAGCTTTCCATTCATATTAAAAGTACTTTGTTAGTTCTTTAAAACTGTATTACTCCAGTTGAGTACGATTTGTAACAATCACCATAAATCACATGTTTACAAATGAAAGTTGCTCATCAAAGATGGCTTGAGCTGAAATTTATGCAGGTCATTTAGAGTTGTAAAATCCAAGCAATTTACTTTTGAATTTTTCGATTTTTGACTTCCTCTTTATCACTTGAGGTAGAATGCTTAGATTTTTCTCAGACCCTGTTAATTTGGAGATTAGACCTGAACGTTGTTCTGTTCTTGTTTCAACTCTTCAATGAAACTTCTATTTATTTCTCTCCTACCCTACCCTTAATTGGCTGTTATTTTTTTTCAGTTCTGGATCACCTTTACAGAATTTGGTTTATCAAAGAATTTGGTGTAACAACTTGGGTTGATTTTTCTCCCCCGCAGGTTCTCAAAATGCAGTTTGCTTGTTGCTTTCTTTGTTGCACCACAAGGCAGCATCACTTCTCTACAACCTGATTGCCTTTTCTGGTCTCCACTAAATTGTCTTGATCGTGTATTGTTTAACTTAGATTAAAATAGGTAACTTTTGTCTTCTCCCCCTCCTAGCTTTTGTAGCCAGATTATGGCCTTAGCTTTTGAATTTGAGCAGAAAATCAAGCATTGCTCATTTATCGAAAAATTTAGTTGCAATTTCCATGAACTTAAAACGTTGAAAGAGGTGGGGCTCTCGTTTATTTTGGTATTTTCTTTTTCGTAACGATTTAACCCTCCGTTGAGACCTAGCTCCACTCGGGTGTACGCTAATTATTTTATCTGCACACAAGTAACTGATTTTGATCGTTCGCAGATGTCTGAGCATACGGACAACGTGATTTATGGTGATGTTCAATGAAGGCAAGGATTGCCTACGAAAATTCACAAAACTATGTAATCGATATAGTTGTCACTGTATTTAATAAATGGTTTCTTTCAATCTTTGTGTATGTGTTCTTTGCTCATGCCAAACTTGTAATATATGTAAGTTAAGAATACTTAACTTCAGAACCATGTTGAATTGATTTGCATTAATTTCACTTTTATCATGATGCCACAAAGTGGGCACACCAATTAGTTTGCTATTATGATTTGTCATTTAAGCAGTCACCTCTTCATTAGATTTAAAGTTTTCTATCCAACTATTTTGGAGTACTATTTACTTTCCCTGCTCTGTATGCAAGGTTGGCTTCATTTTTGTCAACCATTAGTTTGACTAAAGCATCTCTTTGCTATGACTATTTGACCCCCTTCACCCCACCCTGTGACTTTACTCAGTATGTACACTATATGAGTACATACTAGCCACCTGAAGTTGATCTGATAAATCAAACTCTGAACAAAAATTTGGAAGACTTCTTCTGCTTGTCAGAAACATCTGGGATTATACAGAAGAGTTAGCACATGTTCATCTTTCCTGATGAAAGCCATATTTTCTGCTTCAGAAAGACTTTTGGCCTGTTTTGTTTTTTGTTTTTTTTATTTAGCAACAGGGCCCAGAAATAAAGTTAGTACTCATTCTATACTGAACATAGTTTTTGCTAAATCATTCACAACAAAAACTTAAAATTTGACATTCTTCGGTTTGTGTTTTATATTTGTTTAAATGTTATTTTTAATGATGCTCATATTTGAGTAGATGCTCTGTTTTTATTAAACAGTATATTTATTTCCCTCTAGTGACCTTAATATTCAAGAAATCTTGTTAGAAAAGTATACACCTCAGGCAGGATTTGAACTTGATCCCTAGGGGAAACGGTCATTAAATCTGTCTTGGCCACATAGGACCTCTTGATCAAACAAAGCCCAAATAGTGCTTTTGAACCAACATCTGATTCTCAAAATATACATCTGCTTTTTTTCAAGGAATGTATTAAATCTGATGTTTTTAATGGATACTCATATTAGGTGCTCTGTTTTTATTTATTAATAAAATATATTGTTAAATAAATAAAAATGGAACATCTGCTCAAATGAGTAACCATTAAAAATGTCTAAACAAAAAGTCAGATTTAATCTAATCTTAAACTATTCTTTATATATACACACTTCATGGTTTTTTTTTGGGGGGGGGTTTCTTAGACTAAATTTCTGGACATTTTAAGAAAAATAGTGGAAAGTGATACTTGGACTTCTTTTAAGGAAATAGTTATTAAACTGAGGTAGAAGTAAACTAATACCCTTTCCTTCACAAACTTTAATCAGTAATGTCTTTTGAATCTCAATTTAGATGGAACTTGCTGGACTCTGCCAGCATTTTATTAAGCCAAAATACAAGGTTTCTTGCTGTATTTTCCCTAATCTCTGCAAACTTGTCCTTTGTGTGGCAGGATTAAACACGCTTAATATTTCAGTTCCCCAAATAGTTTAATACTTTTAAATCAGAAAAGCAATGAACAGATATGCTAATGGGAGTAGTAGATTCTTTATCTGGTTCTAGAATTGAATTTGCACACAACCACTGGACAGGAAGAGGCTCTACCAACTGCAAAAAGATTCACAACCAAAGAGTTGAGAAATAAGCTTTATATCCCATACAAAAATGGAAAATTTTGAGTATTTGTTCTGGAAAAGCCAAAATGACTTTGAAGAGGAACAGAAAAAGTACTTTTGCAATAAGAGAATCTAAAAAAAAAATCTCTTGTTTCCATTCCCTATCCCACTCTACTTTAAGCACTCTTGCTTTCCAGCAGCTTTTCCTTTTTCCTGTGTGTACCCAAAAGATTTTTCAGGTTTTCTTACTCCAGAACAAAAAAAAAAAAAACAAATGAAATAATAGCCAAATATATCGGTTTTTGGCAGGCAACAGTAACACGATAACAATTTACAGAAATGTGATGAGGCAAATAATTATGGCACACAATATATACAAATCGTTACCATCAATACCATATGACTCTTCAATTGGTTGTATAGGGTTTCAACCAAATAAGTCATCTAGTTCATTTCCAATTGAATTTGAAGACAATCCATTTTGAGCATTGACAGTACCTAAACTAGAAAATTGGTTCTGATTAGCTGTTCCTAAACCCATACCCAGGGGTGAAAAGTTAGTCCCTCCCCTGGGCTGGGTCCCCATCATAGGCATTTGCATGCTGTGTCCTATCATTGTATTCTGGCCTGCTCCCATCATGGAGCCTGTACCCATCATCCTCATACCACCAGCTCCTCCTAAAAGACTCATGTTTGTTGGGTTCATACCCATTCCTGGCATAGAAGAATTGGATGACTTCATTGCCATTTGGTTAAGTGATGGCTTTACTTGTGATGATGTTGGTGAAAGGAGCTTGTCAAAGGCTGAGAGGTCTACAGGTTTATTATTAATGGGGGCTGTCAGTGAATTGGTCCTCTGCATCATGGCACCTCCACCAATGCTGTTGCTTCCTATGCTACTAGGGGAGCTCATGAAGGCTGTATTAGCAGGGGGAGTGGGGTTCCAAGAGGAATTGAGGGTGCTAGATCTCTGCAACTGGTTGAGGTTGTTGTTGAGTAAAGTTGATGTCAAGTCTTTGGGTTGGTGGCTGCTGTTGCTGCTGCTGCTTCCAGTGTTGTTGTTGACACTCCTTTCCTTCAATGAATTTGGGACCAATGGTGCCTGTTTTTTGTATAACTGTTGCTGTTCTTGTTCCCGTGCCAACCTCTGCTTCTCCTCAAGACTCAAGTTCACCTAAAAACAGGTAAGAACAATATTTTGTTAGAAATACTTTGTACAATCCCTGTCAAATGGTCAGTCAGATTGACTCTGTTTAAAAGCACAAGATTACAAAACCTCATCATTTAAAATTGTTAGGTTTTGGGATCTGCATTTTGTATTGTTTTTATTAGACTATACTTGCTTATATTTTCATTTGAATTTCTGATTTTTCTATGACCTTTTTTATTTTAAAGTCAGCTTTTACATATTGTTTTAATTATTAAAATTTTTAACTTTTCAATCTAGAAGTCTGCTCCAGATTAAATTTTGTTTTCTCAATATTTAATAAAACTTTATGAAAAGTAGACTTATTCTAACATTTTTAATATCAAGTTGTGTAAATAGTTCATGCAATGCCTGCACCTCTATTAGTAATAGTTGTTCATACATAACAAATAGAAAATTTGTATTTAAGGAGTCCCATTGCAATTCATTGGCTTTACCAATAAAATGTTCACTTTTGCTTTGCTTCAAGTTACCTTATTGAGCCTATTTATTACAAGAACTAACCCTTGAAATTTCTCTTATGGGTTTGTGTGTGTGTAATATATATAAATTCTAAATGTGCTGGCTCAAAAAACTTTACTAAAAAATAGAAAGGAAAAGAAGCTTCCTACCTTGGTAGGTTGATTGAGTGGCCGAATTTGGTTCATTTCAGATGGACTCTTCTCTAGAGAATTATCAAGGATCTGGCCTGTGTCAGTTTTGATTGAAGATGTCAGCAATCCTCCGAGGTTGAAACCAGAAAGGAACTTATCCATCTGCAGAGAATATAAAACAACTGTAATATGTGTCTGGTATTAAGTAATGAAATATTATAATTAAGAAATCCCAAATCTTTGTTTTGCTTGTTCTTGCATAACTGACAAGGAAAGTTTAGAAAAACACTTCAAATTCTTAAACTGAGTTTCAGGAAAAGATAATTGTACTATGATGGGCCACAAGCTAGATTGATTGCTTTCCAACTTCTCATGAATTTACCTAGCCAGTCTGACAAGGTGATACTTCAATTACTGGAATGAATTTGACTACAAGAATAATGACTGCAATGTGTTGCTGGGTTAATGAGTCTGGCAAACCTTTGTAACTGACTATATATGGATATGTTTCAACTTTCTGGCACTGATCATCTGTGTTGTTCATTGTCAAGCAATGTATTCAGAAAAGGAATTTGGTTAGTGGATTAACATCAAGTTTTGTGTGAAAAGTGGTAATGATAGTATTAGGCCCTTTTTAATAATGGATTATACTGAACATTTTGAAAAGTTTTTGAGTGACATGAGAAGCTTCAAGGAAGAACTGTAAGTAAGCAACCAAATACAAATGTGAATGGTGCACCATTCACATTTGAATCTGATTACGTATGCAACTGTTGGCAGATATACTAATGGGATTTTGGAACAAGAAAAATTTTTGTTTTGCTTTGGATGAAATGATAAACTTTTGGAAGGGTTATAAGAATCTGTTTCCAGAAAATGACCTGGTCTGTCTTTATTATGACAGTGAGTTGTTAGCTTTGCAGCCTCTTAGAAAATCCATTAGAAAAATGGACCATTCAGCTTAATCACAGGGCTATTTTCAAAACTTGAAGGGAAAAAAATGCCCTGAAATGAAAAGATTTGCTGACTTCCAGCAACATAACTACTAAAAGATATTTGTGGGTGGGGGAACAGTTCCAATGCTTCCAGCCATGGTATTGTCTTCAAAGTGGAAAACTTTGTCAGTGTCCAGGTAAGTATCCTTTGCTTTCACAGGATCATTACAGTGATACATTATACAAAAATCAATGCAGTCTGAAATTTCAGGACTTTTCAAAGAAAATTGCAATTGTGCTTTAATGCAAAAAAAAAAAAAAAAAACTCCTTGAAGGTGTTGATGATTCCTTCCAACTTTTTAGCCTTTGTTTGCAACTGATCAATGATCTACAGGCATGCTAGACTTTTAAATTTTGCTTCATACATGAGAAAGATGATGTCATTGGTACAAATAGTGACCAATTTTGCACCCACTGCTCAAAGTAATAACAAAAATAGTTATTTCAAAATAATCTATGGTATGAAAGTGGTAGTGAGTACATGAGTTCATATTGTCTTTAGTTTTCTTGATTAATCCAGCAGTTTTGAAGAAACCCATATTCTCTCACACACACACACACACACACACACACACACAGTATTTCTTATATAAAATAGGTTCAGGAATATTAATCACAAAGAATGAACAGTGAATTCAAACATGATATTGTATAGAGGAATTGAAATTAACAAGGAAAAGATTTTCAAAAACAGGAAATCTTAACTGAAAATAGACAGAAAACTTCTACAATAATGACATTCTCTGGTGAGGAAGCATCATGCAAATAAAACAAAAGCATCAGAGCCAAGCTTAGCAATTCTCAATATTTTGAAATGAAGCCAATCAAAAAAAAAAATAAACACTGAAAAATAACACATAGCATAAATTTTAAATCAATATTAAGTTAGCAGAAACTTACCAAAGAAATATGTCTAGCTCAATTCCCCCCCCTCCCAACTGTATAAAACAAAATCAATGAATGAAAATGCTTACACTACAAAAGGCACTATATTAGAAACAATGGGTATACGAGTATAAATCGGCAAGTCTGCAGCCTAACATAGTTGATCTGAAATTCCCACTGTATAATGTTTGATTAATGTTCCTCCATTGAATAAATACTAAAATAACAATTGGAATATGTAAAAAGTTTAAGGGGGGGGGCTATGGACTTATTGATGCTACTATGTAAATTAAAGATTGTTTAAAAAAAAAAAAAAAAAAAATTATGCAAATAAGCTTTCCTGTTTGGCGTGTACACATACTCTTGTGTTGTAGAAAGGAAAGATGACATTCAGAACTTTTATCTGAAATGTTTGCAAGTCTATTGGTAATAGAGCAGTTGTTTTGAGATGTGTGTGGGTGTGTATATATGTATATTTTTTTTTTTTTTATCATCCAAGTACCAAATTTTACTGAACTATTTATTCCTTAAACTTGAAAATAATAATATATACATACACATCATTCCCCATGCCTTATTCCAAAAATTATACCATTTCATAAATAACAAACTAAAGTTGAATCATCTGATATCAAATAAGTTTGGAGATTTAATGACTTGGCAGTTGCTTTATTATTAGACTGAAGATGGTACACTTCTTATCACTATGCCCAACTCATGAAGTCAATTTCTTGTTTTGCTTTTTGAGTTATTACTGACAATTCCTTTGTATCTGAGAAATTAGACCTGCTTTTTAAAAGCTTCAGCATTCCAATTGCATATTTGAACATAGCATCAACTTACTAATGAATTTTGAGGTGTTACTGATTCTACTGCAAAAGTTGAATTGGTGGTTCCTTAATTCATTTCATATAGATATTACTAACACTTGGCTTCATTTTTCTCTGCAGAAGTAATTTTTGTATTATATTTTGAGAGGAAAAGAAAGAAAAAAAAAAACCCCACTAATCCATGATATTGTCTGTAGTCTTAAATCCATCTGTAAAAGTTGTCTGCATGTAAGAACTGGAGAAGTCTCTTTTTCTTTGTAAAGCATTAACATGAAATCTTTGGATCTTGTAAATTGAACAGAAAAATGTTATCCTTTCCTTGAAATGATTAATTCATAGTGTTTAAATATGGAAGTCATGTAGCCTAACATGATGATATACTTTGACCCCCCCTCCTCATTAACTCAAACTTGCTCTTTATATTGGTAAGAAATGTGAGGATTTCTTTAAAATGTTTCATATATAAACTTAAATTCTTGAAAGCCATGAATTTGGAGACTGGAGGAAGAGTTGTGTATTCAGCATTCATATCTACAAAATCTCTAAAATCTGGGATTGTTCTGACTGCATCTTCATGTGATTTACACATTTTATAAAACCAAGTGGGCACTTTTCTTTTCCAATAGTTTTATTTGTAGCTGATGCAGTTTAGAGAAACAGGTTTCAGATAGTCCATTGTATATGACTGTCATTGCTGCAGATCCATCAACAGTTTATTTGAAACTGGTGAGGGGGTGCATGTGTAATAATTAAAATTTCTTACAACTTGAACAATCTCTTGGCACTAGATAAAGTTCATCAAAAGGTTATTTCTTAAATGATGTTCCATGCATGCTAAATGTAGAACAAGTTACAGTAATCTATTGAGAAAAAAAAATTTATTCAGTTACCTGTAAAATACTGTTTTACTGCTAAAAAAAAAAAAAAAATCAATTATTCTAAATGAAATATTGTAATGGGTGTTAAAATGGTGTCATATTTACCCAAGGAAAAAAAAAAAAAAAACTCTTTTAATACTAATAATTCTGTTGAAAAATATTTGACTGTTTACCAATAATCCTTTCATACTGACTATCAAATCAACAAAATAAAGGAAGGAACATCCTTCTATTTTTCAAGAAAATTAAATTAATGGCAAAAGAAGAAAATAGTGAGCAAGAGTATTAGTATCTACAAAATACATTTCAGATAAATCTAGTAAGACTAAGATTTTAAAAAAAAATCCATAGCAAACACTGTATTATACATCAGATTTTAGATAAGAAATAATACAGAAAATTTAATGCCTTTCATTTTTCAGGATATAATTTAATGAGTTATATAATTTGTTTGTTTGTTGTTTTTTTTTTTTTTTTCTAAATATTAGTGTTTTTGTTAATAAGGTGTAGATATATATATATACAGGAATAACAGAAAAGCTACTCAAGACATTAACAAAAAAAAATTTAAAAAAAAATGAAAACACTCTCAAACTGTATATAGCAATACACCGGAAGACAATGCAATAATTACATTTCCACAAGATAAATTCCTAAACAAAAGTGGAACTTCTTACCAATGGAATACAAAAGGAATGAGGATGGTTTACTGCAATGTGAGTGGCATGACAGGTCCTAGCCATGAAATTTACAACTGGAACCAATGAATGCAGTTCATCTGGACATTTTCCATGGAAGTAGCCAACAGAGCAATGTGAGGTTTGCCACATCCTAACTCTGATCAAGGGGTTGCAGGTAGAAAATTTGTCATTCACAAAGACATGGAAATAATTTTGGACTATCAAGACTGGGCAGCTCCTGACCTGATATGACTTTTTTGTGTCCCTGCCACAGGGAAACCTGTTAATGTAAGGGCTGAGTTCATGGAGATTTAGATGGTTGTATTCACCTATTAGTGGGTGAGTCGCCTGGGAGCGTGAGCTCCAACAGTAGGACTGAGGCATTAATGCCTTTTTTCAGATATAAACAGTTGGTTGAGTTTGGACTGAAGATGGAGTTCCATTTCTGGAACATAAACCTCACATTGGTGTCGGAGATTGTAGACTTGGTCTTTTTTTAATTAAAAAATGTTGGGTTTGCTAATTTTGGTCATTTTAATTGATTTTCTGTGCGAATTGTATATTTAGTGGAAGACTAGTAGGTAGCAAGAGACACACACAAGTAACCTGGAGGTACAGCTATAACAGTACTTCTTAATCATGGTATTGAACGGCCATACTGAAGCCTACTTAACAGACAAAAATTCAATTCAGAAAATGGTAGTACAAGAACCCTAATATTATACACCTGCTGATAGGATAGCCTCCTTCGAAATTATTCAAAGTTTGAATCCTTGACTATCAGGTGGATAACACCAAAACCCAGACAACTCCATCTCCAGCACTCTTAATGAAGGGACAAAACAATCCAGGAAAAATAGATACAGGCATGATACCCAAAGTCAAAAAGGTACCAAGACAAGCTTGTTTATGAGGACTAAAAGATCTGCTGGGAAGAGTTGGGTAACAAGAACATTTGCTTTCTGACCATGAGACCTGGGTTTGAATTTCCCTATAGTCAATTTGTCAGGAAGGTGACTTCTTTGATGTTATGAGTCTGGAGAGTTTATCCCAGCACCTTTTTAGAAAATGCCTGAAAACCATACCATGAGTTGTCTCCAGCTTTGAGTGAAATTGGGTAGACAGAACTGTTTGGAAGCCATTAATGGTTGTGCTAGCAAAAAGGCACAAGTTATTGTTTGAGTGTTCAAACTATTGATTATGACAGATTGCGTTTTTTTTTTTTTTTTTTTTTTTCTTTTTCTCTCTCTCTCTTTTTTTTTCTCTCTCTCTCTCTCTCTTTTTTTCTCTCTCTCTCTTTTTTTCTCTCTCTCTCTCTCTCTCTCTCTCTCTCTCTCTCTCAAGTTCTGGTCAGCATAGTTTTAGTATAAACCACAGGTGGACTGTCAGTGTTGAACAAACAAATGTTCCTCATCAGGTGTCTGTCTGCAAAACAAGGATTGGCTAGCTATCCTAACAGACAGCTGTACTCTGGAAATAAGAATAGCCAGTCATCACACGTTTTTGTGTGTGCTGACTTAACCAGAAACTCTTCATTTTTGAATAATTTCTTAGTTTTGTTTAAGTTTTTTGGGCCTCTTATGCCCTAGTATTTTTTTTTTTTTTTTTTTTTTTTTTTCATAAACAAAAACTTGGGGCAACATTTTTCACTGACATGAAATAGAAAGATTATATTAAATCATTTGTTAGTGAAGCAATTTTCCTAGCAGCAAACCTGTCTCATGCTATATAATTTTTCTCCTCAGAATCTATCATACACATAAATCTACCATCTGCCCATGCATTGAATATTGCTATTACATCTGGTCTAGTGCTTTTGTTATGTATTTAAAGATACATCATAAAATCCAAAAGATCTGTAATGTCTTTGGTCTTGATCTGGCATCAGGGCTTCAGCCACTTGCACACCCCTGTAACCTAGCTTATAGAAAAGCTCGGTGGAGCTTTTCTATAAATATTTTCATGGTAATTGTTCTGATGAGATTTCTTTCGTACCTAGACTCTATGAATTTAAGCATACTACTAAATTGGCAATATGTTTTCATCATCTTACAGTTGAAATGACTGGATGTAATTGTAAGTTTTATACTAACAGTTTCTTCTCTCAAACTTCTTGCATGCTTTGAATTTGAAGATCAATCTCAATCATTTTGTTGTCTTAATTTGTTCTTTTAACGTTTTCTTTTTCTCATTCTCTCACACGCAGTAACCCCTTGCATGGGTGAAATTATTAGCAAAAAAAAAAAAAAAAAAATACCATATGAAAATAATGCACATCCATATAAAAGCTTAAAAATAAAAACTGAACTCCTTTTTTTTTTTAATAATTTCAAATGTTTGCACATGCATTTGTGTAAGTGCCATACAAATTTAAAAAAACATAGGAACAAAGACATTACAAAGATATGATTAAGTTTAAAAAAAGAAAGTAAATATCGGCAGAGATCAGTTATAGACAATTTTTTTTTTAATTCAATTTTTAGTAAAATTACAAACATTATGTAATTTCAAATTGTTTGAGAGACAAAAATACTAGTTTAAATGTTCTGATTTTGTGCTCAGCTTAAATTTCATTTTTGATAAGTTTACATATTCTTAGCTGGTCTGATCTCTGCATTGAAGTAACATTTTTTTTATTCTAATGAACTAAATATATTTTACATATCTTACCTCTTATTTCAACTAAACGTGGATATGCATATAGCACCGTTAATCTTGGGTTTCTTTATTCATAATTAATGGAAAACAATTAGTTGAAAGGAAACTAGCTGCCGTCTTTATAATTTATGCTGATTTGGTATATACATCAATAACAAACGTTTTGTGTCTGGCAGCAGATAAACATGTAAAATTCCCTAAAATAGAACAATGGCATCTTTCATAGATCAAGAGTGGAAGATGGTTGACAGTATCATCCATCAGGTAATCTATTCAAATTTGCTAAAAAGACAATTACTTAAGATTAAACAATAAATAAAAGATCTACTTTGGAATAACAAGTGGGGGAAAAAACCGTGGATAGTTTAATTTAATTAATGAATTTTAATCGTATTCAAAATTAAAACTTGAAAAATTCAAGATATCAGCAGTCTTTGTATTTTTTTACAGCAAAGAATAAATAAAATCAAGCAAAGTTATAAGAATATATATATATATATACATGCATATGTGGTTGGTTGTGGGTAGGTGCAGGTGTAGTCACAGAATTATCATTCATGCATTTTGTTTAGAAATTCATGAAAGATGCACTGACAATAATAATGGCAACTATAACAAGGGGAGATAACAAAGAGTATTTTTGCGTCTTACCTTGGGACGATTTTCTTGCTCAGACTGTTTTACCCCAATAAAAGGAGCAAGACAAAAGAAGTTAAAGCAAATTAGATAATCAAGAATTAACCACATAGAAATTATGATGGGTTGTCAGATACTTTTACAGATATATGTTGAATACTTTTTGATTTCCAGCAGTGGAGATAGAAGTTAATGATCAGAGTTAAATTAGACCAGGAAATGGTAGTATTAAAAAAAATTGCTCAATACACATATAAAAAGATAAAAATTTAACATGAGCCTTTAAAGTATATAAAATTAGGAAATCAGTCGATTCTGCTATCTTGGTTTCAACTTTTTGGTATCTTCCAAAGATTTTGGTCAATTGGTTTCTTAACACTTTATTTTTCAAAAAATACATTGGAAGATACTGAAAGGTTGAAACCAAGATAAGCAGAATCAACTGATTTCCTAATTTTTTATGCAATGGATAAATTGTCGTCTAAATTATGCAAGAATAACAACACTGATTTTAACATATATTTACCAAAATTACACAAATCTTCAAATACTAAAAAGTAAATTTATTCAATAAAATTGCCATCGGCTTCAACTACGACCCCTAGAAAACTTTGGAATCTCCTGCTATAATCCTTGCCTTCAGTTCATATTTGTTGTTTAAGGAGTTTTGTTGGTCTCTCACTCAACAGCACTGTACACATAACCAAGGTGGTTGCAGTCAGATAAGTTAGGTGGCCAGATGTAAGGGGGTGATGTGGTCGCAGAAATTGTCTGACAGCCATCACTAGGTTCTCCTATTTGTGTGGCATGGTGAAGAGTCCTGTTGCCAGCAACCACCCTCTTGGGCCAGAGCAGCACTACCTCCTCAAGGCAGGCTTTTGTGTTGAGTCTGAGGACCTCACCAAAAAATTCAGTTCTTTTCTTATTTGAATGAAGAGAGTGAATTGTGTTCTGTTGCTCTTTTTCTCACAGATGGTGCCCAACTGACCCTACTATACTGTGCAGGTTACAAAATAAAAAATGACAATTTATCCATCGCACAGTGTGTGTTATATATATATATATATATATATATATATATATATGCTAAAAGAATAAAAATAAGTCTTTAAATATAAGTAATCAGCTTAATGTTAGATTGATCGAGTCATATAATAAAAAATGACTATATATCTTGATTTTACTATTATTACAAGGTGTTTGAAAACTTCTTGGCCAAAGCCACTTCCCAAAATTTGATCAAATAACCAAAGATGATGTTTTTCTTGAATTCCTTTCAGTACCCTCCTATAGGTTTGCCGATGTGAGTCTTTTAAATAATTTTTTCATTTATTATTTTTTTGTCTACTCTATCACAGAGTCAGTCTGTTCATCTTGCTTTATAAACATCTTGGAAAAGTCTGACATTGTTTCCTTACATCACAAGTGCAAAGGAGATAACTAGTAAGAAAAAAATTACATGCAAAACAATTTCCAAATACACTTGGTATAAGTAAAGATTTGTTTAACTCAATTCATTCCTGCTTTATGTTTATATAAAGAATCAATAAATATGAATGTCAACTGCTCCATTTTGTCCTTGATGTATTACAAAACCAGTCAATATTAAAAAGTCAATTCAACATAATATTTGGAGGCAGTTTATATGAAAGTCGGTTATTTTTAGCAATAAGAATTTTGACAAACCATTTCATTCAAAAGAAATTATACATCTCATTGAAATAACCTTTCAAAAAGAACTTTATCTGTTTGTCCAAAGACAGACATGCATACTTAGTATTAGCTGTTGTTATAATCAAGAGAGCATGAATCTGCTTTTCTAATATAGCAACAGCTAAAACAAAATACCTTAATTTCTTTTATTATAAAAAACAAATCTGCTCAGTTAAGAACCTGAAAGCAAGAGAGCGGGAGTGATTATTGAAGATGAAAACAAAAGTTGAAAAAGATGGCAATCATATCTTGTAATTTTATGCTAAATCTCAAAAACAAAAGTCCTTCAAAAAGAAAAGTAATTAGTAATGTTTTGTCTCTTGGTTAAATTTTGAGAATTGGGTCAGGCCAAAAACTTTTCACCAACTATTCATTCTTATTTTACAAAGATTTAAAATGTATTTTTGCTTGAAATCAGGTTCATGATGTTTCAAAATATAGGGAAATAGAATACAGCTATTATTCTTTTTAAATAATCCCCCAAATTTCTGAAACTTGAAAAAAGAAAAAAAAAAAAAATCACAAAGAAATATTAGAAACAATAAACACGAGTGAAAATAGTGAGTAATAATACGGAGCTAAATAAACTTAATTTATGATACTTTTTATGAAAGAAGAATATATAAGCTTTAAATGTAACTCAAAATATTAATATAAGCTGCCATGTAATGCAGGTATAAATGTCGCAGAAAATACAATGTAAACAGCAAATGCACATGGATAAAACAATTTGTATTTATATACTTTGTGCATTTAACACTTTTCAGATATATTTGATGAAGTACCAATCCATACACACATAATCCTGTCATATTTGATTCATACTATGCTATTTTATAGATCAACCAAAGCAATGTAATTTTTATAACTGATTATATTTTTTAAATTCCAAAGAATTAATTAGAATGATTGTATTAAAATTAGATTACTTAAATTGATAACTGATTATTTTTGCTAAATAAGAATATAACTTTATTTAATTAATGATACAACTGTTTCTTTAATTATAATATTCATTAACAAAAATACAGTATATGCTATCATACAATGTCTGATAATATTAACTGTTCTAATGAAAAAGCTCTCTTTATTAAAATATGTTATTAAGAGATGCAAATTTAAATGTTGTTTCAAGCTAATTATTTATGCTACTTGCTCAACAGTCCTAGAATATAAAACAACTTGAACATTGGGATTAAATACATGCAACAACAATTAGGTGAAAAGAAAACTCATCAAACATTTATAATGTATCATCTAAGAACTTTGGACAACTTAAGACTATATAGTGAATTAGCCATTAATTTAAATTTGAAGAAACATGAAAAAGGGTCAACAGAAATATTACATTTACATTGTTGGCACTTTTATACTCATCTTTATTGTCACATTCACAACATTTTGGCCATTGTACACTCTGGTCTTCTTCAGGTGATATTTGTTTGAATTTCAAACCAAACTCAGAATAGTCAATCTGTATGTTGGTGGTTCTGAAGATTGGCTTGATGATGTTTGTGTAGCTGTTCTTACCATATTTCTTTCCTGAAATGGGTTGACATAACATTCACATTCCTGGGTTGCTCAGTAAAGTCACTGAGAATCTGTACCATTTCCTCCACCCACTGATTACAAATATTGTGATAAGGATTGGCAATGATCAAGTTTGCCCCCCCCGTTTGTTGTTGCCCTGCTGTTCATAGATGAGAATTGCAATTCCAATGCAAAAGCAGTCACCTTTATTGTGTGTTGGTATACAATGCGCATTCCATAGACGTGAATGTTATGTCGGCCCATTTCAGGAAATAAACATGGGAACATTGTCTACACAAATGTCATTAAACCAATCTTCAAAAACATCAACATACAGATTGAGAAAGGAGGAAACTATGCTGAAAACTAGATATTAAATCATTTATGTTAATTTCAAAATGCCTAGTAAATTTCTATTTTAAATATGTTGTAATTAAAAAAGAAAAACAGCCATTACTTTCTGACCAATCCTTATAAAATCAGTCATATAACTGATGTCTCTATTTAAGAAAGCATACTGACAGATCTAAACATGAAATATTAGGCCTTTTTTTTTATTTATTTATTTTTAATCATTTCACCCCAAACTAGGTGATAAACCACTAAGATGCAGGCAGTTACTGAGAGCGAAAAACTGAGAAAAAACATTATTAAGGAGGGAAAACAATAAAAGAACAAAATTCAAAGAGATGCACAAGATGACAGTGCATATAAATTTTTGAAGATCATAGTTGATGGGAAAGCAAAAAGTCAGAAGAAAAGGCACAGGGAAGCCACATTACAGTGGATACTTATATTTGAAGATAAAGTTAAGTGATAACTTAAAATAACCAAATACTATTGTTAGTTCAGGATTAATACAAACTAATAATTTTAAAAACTCAACGGGTTTGCACAAACAAGTTTTTTTTTTTTTTTTTTTTTTTTAATTCATTTTTGGCCAAGGACAACAAAATGTAAAATAAAAATAAACTCAGTTACTTAGGCTTTACTAAACCATTACCCAAGAGAATCAAAACATTTCTTAAGTACCAGATTAAGTTTTGCTTAGAAAATATAAATTTTATGTCCAAAAATTTTAAACAAAAGTATAATCAATATTTGTGGAAAGATTATTCTATCAATTACTTCCCTGATGCTTTTATACATGATAATCGCTTGTTATCTTTTCTAATGCAAATTGTGTATAAATAAATCAAAAAATGTCATGTCACAAATACAACCTTCAAAATTCTTTGCTTTTGTATTTGTTAACAAAAATAGGATACAAAGCCAGCAGAGTAGGTTGAATAAACAAATAAGAGGAGTTGTGGTTTGTAGAAATGGTTTTTGTGACCTGTAAATGTTGTAGTCAGCTTGTCAAGCAAATACTTTTTCAAACTTACCATGGTCAGAGGTTGGTTATTTTGGGTCAGTTCAGGCAGTAAATTCTTCTCATCCGTAACAGTGAGTTTGCTGATTTCTATAGTTCTGTTGAATTAAATTAAAATAAAGAATAGGAAACAGATCAGTTAATGAGATTGGTTGGTAAGTTGTAAAAAAAAAAAAAATCAAAGCCCAAATCTATTTTGGATTGTACGAAGGGGGGGGGGGTCGGCAAGTGAATATCGCATTAACATTTTTTTTTGAGAATAACAATGACTTGTATCTGGAAAAGCCAGTCAAACTAGTTGGCCCATAGTTGGCAGGAGGATATGGATTCATGCCTTTCCCAAGGGTATTTGCCTCTAAGTGAAGCTAAGAAACCTGACTGGAATTCAAATTTTGTTCTCTGATTTCTTATTCTGAGCAAATATTCATTACACCACCTGCACATCCCTAATTAAAGTTCAGTGGAAAAAGAAACCAATGAACAAATTGAACAGGTGAAACACTCAAAAACATTCATATCCAATTATATAAAGCTAACAGAAAACCCTTTATACTTAAAAGTTTGGAAAAGTTTTGTATTTTAGGGAGGCAGGAATGTTTTTGATGCCAGAAAGATTCTTACTTTTGTTCTTGTTGCATGGAATTGAGTTGTTCCAATTTGGTGCGTTGTTCAGTCTCCACTTTGGCAACCATTTCTTTGACGACAGAAATATATGCATTGAACTGAAAATAAAATATCAAAAATCATTGTGGATTTAAGTTTCACACACAGTATATAAATTGTGCACTTATTTCTATTGAAAGTTTATCAATGTAATTTGGCCATATTTGTATTAGTTCTCAATTTGATAAGGCTAACAAATTATATATGCTTGACTTTCTCATCCATAAATCATAATAATCTAACATGAAAGACCAACTCCTTGGTAACAAATCATTCATTTTACAAAATTCATAAATTTACAATTATAAATATTGAACATTTGATAGAAACAAAAATCTTTATTGAACAGATATTTTGGTTTCATGAAAATAAAAAGAAAATTTTCTTTTCAGAAAACATAAAACAATTACAATCTTAAGTATAATCTTTATATATTAAAAAAGTTTACACACTAATTTTGTAGTTGCATTGCACTTATAAAATGTTAATCTTCATGTTGCTCAGTAATTTGTTTATATTCAAATATTTCATGAATATTAAACTAGACAAAAGCACCATTGAATAATTATGAAATTTTATTTGTCACATAGCAAAATCTGTTATTTTACAAGTTCATTCTAAATCCAAACATTAATTCATTTTTGTGGCTGCCTGTCAAAAAAATGTAAGTCTTAATGCTCATGTCTTTATTTAAGGAACTATTAGAAATTAACCTTAATATTCTGCACAACCAGGATGAAATTGTTTTCACCTCCAGTTTCATTTACTGATTGCTATTGCATATGTTCGACACTTTTTGATCAGGCTGCTATAGTCAATCATGTCTTCCATTATTGTTCTTGTTGTTACTAGCATCATTACAGTTACTGTGTTATTAATGGTAACATTATTGTTGTGATTAAAGACACCTTTTTATTGTGATGATGGGATTTATAAATAAAAACTTTTAATGAAAAGTTTTCCTCATCTGAACTTCACTTATAAAAGATGCTGACAAAATTGGGCCCATGTTTCTTATTTCATCAATAAAATGCTTACTGATAAACTCTGCAGATACTTTTTGCTACTATGTAGATCCAGGTGAACTATTTTGAAATAAATACACAAAGAATATAGTGTGCAAGATATGACAGGAAACATGTAAGTGTTTTGATAGGTTTTACTTGTATTAGAAAGAGAACCTTTTTATATTTTAAATATTTGCTCGATTTACAAAAATCAATTTTACAGTATTCAACATGAGAGTAGACAGATAATACAATAATATCTTTGGTAATGGAATTGTAAATTTCCCCACATTTTTTTTTTACTAGCACTCTCATTGTCTTCAGTTATTAACCTGTTGAATCTGTAGTATCATTGAACAGTACAGTGCTCTGAAATCTAGTCACAAAAAACAATTACACAGTCTAACATGCGAATAGAATAATTCTGTTTATATAAGCAACTTTATATTGGACACTGGTTGCTCTTCACTGATGTTTTGTTTTGTTACAAAGTTCTGAAATAGTGAAATTTACATATAATATCCAGTGAGAATATATCATCAACTGGTTAGGTTTCAGAGTTGAATGGGTTAAAATGCTTTTAATATTTCATATGAAATGATAGTCAAGGTTTATAATTTGCTAACTGCAAGAAAATTTTCTTGATTCCAAACAAGCATATCTTTTTAAAATTTAGGGCTCCTACAGAGTTACTTGATATGCCTACTTCTCAAATCACACTTGGTTGGCAGAATGAAAGATTAAAATTATTTATGAGAAAATGCCTAGATAAAAAGTGCAATGTTCATTTAATAAGACAGACTATGGCTCACCTGGTTCAGGTTGAGATTATTCTCAATACAAAGTGGTACAAGGAAAGGGATCACTTTGGTTGCCAATATCTCTTTGGTGATTCCTAATTTTGCATGTGACAGGGTTACTTTAAAGATTCCTGGGAAAAAATATTTTAAAATAAAAAAAATCATATTCCCTTATTAAATATTAAAACCTACATATATTTCTGATCATAAAACACTATGTAGCTTCACATACAGTGTTAAGAAAATTCACAGAATAAGGATTAATTTGGCTTTCAATCAAGATCATTTATATACCCTGAATAAGGAATACTATCTCTCTCTCTCTCTCTCATACACACATTACTTGATGTATAGTTTTTATAATTTTACATCATTCTATAAAAATTTACATCTAAAACATTAATTCAAAATTTAAATTAAAAATGATGAAAAAAATATTTGATGGCATAAAAAAAAAAAAACACCCTTTTTTCCTAAATATCTCCCAGATCTTTTATGTAAAGTAGAGGTATTTGATTGATTAATGTTTATTCAGATGCTGCAAACTACTACTATTTGTACCTAACCTAATTTCATATTACATGTAAATTCCATAAAATATTATCTATATTTGAAAATTAAAATCCATATACTGTATTACATGAAATTGAATGTATATTATTTGTTACAAAAACTAATGACTTTTGTCCCACAATAGCTGTTACATTTACATATATATTTCATACACAAAATGCAACAATTATTATGAGACGGAATTAGTATTGATTAGATTCATTTCTGACATGATAAAGACAAAAGAATTGAAAGTCTACGCTAATGGTGCTCATACACAAATACTGATACAATAAGAGGAAGACGGAACTCTTCATAAAACAGATAAATGATTTTGAAAGTATGTAAGAAAAAAAAGGTAACCATACCTAATATACTCATAAGCACGCCTGGTTCTCGAGAAGGAATTTGTGGAAGCAGTGGAAAGACTTCATCAAGTACATACCACTTGTCCATGTATTCTAGTAATTTGCCAAGGCACACCAGACAACCAACACGAACCTGGAATGAAAAAAAAAAACAAAAAAAAACACAACTGACAAAAGGAAACATTTTCTTAAAAATCATAATACAAATAAATAAAAAAAAAAAAAAAAATGAAATTTTTCTTTAGATTTGAAAATAAATTAAGAGTGTCACTTACACAATAGGTTGATGGACAATAGAAAAATATTCCTAAAAGGTTGATATATGCTAGCAGAATTGTGATAGGTAAGAACTAATTTAAAAACAATATTTTGAAAGTTAAACAAAATTGGCTCCTTAATAGTTCTTGGAATTGATAGGATGAAAACCTCAGTTTAACTTGGATTTAGCTGATGGATTAAGACTGACCAAAAATAGAGCCTCATCCTAAACATTGATAGCTTTCACATTGGATATACAAGATCTCTGCCACTTCAGGCATATTCAGGGTTGAAATAATTCTTAATCTCAACTCAAGCTGAATATCCTGATATTTTTTAATATTATTCATTACTGCTCACCTTAGTGTCTGTCTTTGTATGATGCTACACACCGCCCACAATCACTGGGTAAGTCCGTGGTCAATCCCTATGGCCAGCCTTGGAGTTGGTCACCCCCAATCTTCAATCCCACACTGCCCCACATTGTTTGTTTTAGATCACAAAGCAGGTGAAGGCTGAGTTGTATACCCAACATCATTGTTCCAGTAGCCTTGGCAAGATGACACCACAAGGAACAAAGTAAGAGACAGCTATGTAAGTTTGTTTTGTTTCACGGCATATCAACCTCAATGGGTCATTTAATGCCGACAACTTTTTTTTTCCGGTAATATTTTCGTTTTGTCAAAAATCCATTTCTGTCAATATTTTTTCCCTCAAAAATATATAGCTGGTAATATTATTTTTCCAAAAACATTGATGATAGTATCATCCTTCCAAAAACATATTGATGGTAATATTTTTTTCTATTTACTTTCTATTTCAATATCTTCCAATTTGTTGGGTTAGGTTGTTGATTTGTTAGATTTTATGTTTGACTTATCTCTATTACTAGAGGTTGATCGGGACCGTGGTTTGATTTTTATGGGGTTGATTTTTGTTGGAGAATTTTTCCCATTTGTTGTTTTTGTTTGCTTAGAGGATGTTTTTTTGGTATCTTTGTTTTTGTATTTGTTGTTATTACTTGATTTTATATTTAGGCTTTTGTGGAGGATTGAAGAACTCACTTTATTGTGGGAGCTTTGTTCTTCAAAGTCTTCCGTTTCTAATATGTTATAGCTGTTGTGAAGGGAAATTTGTTGGTTTATTTGTATATTTTGATTGATTTGGTCTGGTTCTGATTTGCTCTTAGGGATTTGTTTCTGGTTTTAGTCGCTTATCTGGGTTTTAGTAGATGCTGTTATTTGATTTTTGTTAGTTTCTTTTTGAGTTGTTTTTAAAGTTTCGATTAGATTTTTAAGTTCAAAGACTAGTTTGTTGAGTAGGTCTTGATTGTTAGCTTGGTTTGGTTTTTGAATGATTTCTGCATAAATGTTTGTTTCTTGATAGGAATCTACTATTTTCCTCACCTCTGGAAAGGATAGATTTTTCCTGTATCTCACTTCCGTGACTTCTCTTTCCTTTTTAAAAATTTTACATGTTCTAGAGTAAGCTGGATGATTTTCATAGCAATTCGGACACTTTGTTTCATTTGGGCATTCATCTTCTGTATAATTGGGTTCCTTTACACCACATTTTACACATATTCTGTACCCTCTACAAGTTTCCCTGTGGTTCCCAAATTTCTGGCACTTAAAGCATCTCAGGGGTAATTTGGATTATGTATCCAATTTTGATTTCTTTAGGTATTTTAGGGATATTAAATGTTAGGATATAAGTATTTGTGGGTATGATTTGACCATTCCTTTTTATGTTGATCTGTATGTGATCTATTACTCCTTGTTTTCTCAGAGCAATTTTAATTTCTTCAGTTGTGGCTAAGTTTAGCTCCTGGCTTCTTATGATACCTTTTGATGTGTTTAGTTTTTCATGGGCAAAGACATTACAATGGTAGGTGTGGAATTTTTTCATTCTTAAGAGATTTTGAGCATCTCTGTAATTATCTACTTCAACTAGAAGATTTCTGTTTTTCATTTTTTTGACTGTTTTAGGGTTACTGTTTTGGGATAAAATTTTTTCGATTAGAAATGGAGATAGTTCACTGATCTTTTTAGGGTTTCAATAACTATGAATCTTGAAGTTTTTCCTTTCTATATATTTAGAAAAATTGTTTTCCTATGATTTGGATTCCCACTCACCGTCTGCGTTGGAGACATCAGAAACATCAGAGTGCGTTCTTTTGGTTTTTCCATTGTTCTTTATCTGGTTTCTGGGTTTTTTATTGGGATATTCAGTTTCCATGTAAATATGTTTGATTTTTTTTTTTCATCTTTCTTGCTCCCCACCCTCCTCGGAGCCCAAATATGGGAGATGTTAGGGGGGAAACCCATTCGCCCTTTCATCTCAAGGATACAAAAAAGATATACACAATTAGTGGAGTTTCCACCGTCATTTTCTGATTTATAGAAACATCGGATAAGGAACAGTCATGTGGTTTCATTTCAATAATTGATTGACCCTTGCCACTGCCTTCTAACATTTACTTGGTTTGCCTGTGTTTATGGTAAGAGTAAAAAAGATGTAGTATCTTTGGATCTTATTCTTGGATGTTGTGGTCGTCATTTGCAAGTGTAAGGGCTTGACATGACTAGCTGATTGATCAGATCAGGCCTTTCCAACCACCCGTCTAGCCCAAGTAAGGGCCAAAGTGACAGCTATGTAAAACAATAACTTTATATCAGCAAAGGTTCAGACAATGAATGTTCTAGTCACTAAATTAGATTTTCAGCACCTCCCTCCCCTTAATACCCCCATGACACTATGTTTAGCCACACTTGGTAAACTGGTACAAGGTTGAAGTGATTTATTCCAACTCTGTTATTCCTTTGGGCTGACTATTCAGTTGTAAGTGGTAGTCTGAAACATGGATGGAGTTTAAGTTCTTTCTGCAGAATTTGTGTGGGCTTTAGCAAAACAGGTCTTGAACCAACTGGCAATGCACCTCTCTTGCAAACAGCACCTCAAATTCTCTGGTTCCTCCTCCTCCTCCTCTGTCTCTTGCTTCACTCATCTATATTTATGGACCCTCACACAAATCTGGTGCGGGGCATAAGGTGGTTGGGGATTCTCAGGAAAACAAAATCTATACAGAGCCTTTCATTGTCTGGTCTTGAGAAATTGATTGCCTGACCAAATTTGGAGAGATCCCTCCTTCAAAGAATGGTGGTGGCAGAATATTGATCCGCCCAACTCCAATCTTGTATGGGTTCCTCTCACCATCTCTGCCCAAAGGGTGCAGGTGATTCCTCTGGCTTCCTTAAAATTCTACCTGGGCCTCCACCTACCACTCCCCATCTCCTGATCAAACCTGTTCCCAGAAGTCAGGTGTGGTCTAGCCCAAATTGCTAAATTCAATTATCATCCAATATTTCCATCAAAGGGAATTCTTATCACATCCCTGGGGGTTGGTTGCATCTGAGATTCATCTGTCACCTTCTCTCGCCAGCTCTTTGGTCAACAAGCGACAAAAAGAGACAATTCCTGTTTTAATTTCATCACATCTTAGGCAGACGAACAAAAAAAAAAAAAATATATAACTACAATTTAATTTCTGTCTTTCCTTTGGAAACAGATCGGTCTTAAGATCCAAGTCTTATCAACTGACTGAATTTTGGCTAGAGACTCATTTTTAACAATCATGGGCGGTCCCCCCCACCCACCAATTCGTTCAACAAGCGACTTACTGACACTCATCTTTTTCCCTCGTTGACACTTGAAATGTAATCTATTCTTCTAGTGGGCACTTAAGAAAATACCATCGCTTAAGATTAAGTTGGCCAAAAACAGATGGTTTCTATGCTAGCCATCGTTGGCATTTGAACCTCAGGGTGAAGAGAGAAAAAAAATATCCTTTTCTTTCATGGTTTTTGTTATCAGTATACTTTCAATCTGTGAAAAAATGTTGTTTTTTTTCTTGTTTTCCCAGTTTATTTTGAAAGCCTTTTTCCCAATTTACCAGTACCTTCTTAATAGTGTCATATCTGTACTTGGTAACCATCTCAGAATTTTGAACTAAACCCTTTATTCAATCCACAAGAGTAAATTGTTCTGATTCCATTTTCCATACATTGGGGTATCGGTTAATATTCATCATTCTTATTAATTAATGTGAGATATCCCCTAAGCATGGAAAGGGGAATCAGAACAATCTATTACTGTAAATTGAATAAAGAATTCAGTTCAAAATTCCAAGAAGGTTACCAAGTATGACAATGGAAATCTGAAGAAAGTTTGATTGCATAATAGCTGAACTGTTATCAGTTGAACAACAAAGATGAACATACTGTTCCAAATATTAAGGTATATAGTAACAATAATTGTTCATCTAAAAAGTTAACTATAAATTAACAATATTCAACAATATAGATTGTAATGGTTACATTTACTTAAAACTAACTTAGCAACTGCATGCCTGGAGACAAAGAGCACATAACCTCTCTCAAGATATATAGATAGCCCCTTAATTTATATTCAAAAGACCTTACATGAGCCACCATATGTAGTGTACATCTTGATACTTGATTTGTCTTCTGTCATACTGTCAATAAAGGAAGGACCTCTTCAGTGTCATTTTTTGTGCAATAAGCTTACAGCTGCATTACTGTCTAGATGATTAGCTTATTTCTACAAACTAAATTCATATGTAGCTTCATTGCTCCTGTAATTGTGACAATTAAAGCAAAGGCTAAAACTCAACAGAACAGGTATCAACTCATTAATTACATTGTAGCAACTCAGACTGTCAAAGAATTACTATAGACAAGAGGCAAGTGTATATTTTAGTGCCTATAAACACAAGAGTCTGTAGGAGAAATGAAAAATCCTGTGACAGGCTTAAAGCTTAAACCAATGCTTAAAACAAACTGAAGAGAATTGAGTTACCATCCAGATTTTGCCAACATAATTTCAAATAAACATGATAATAAATATAATTATAAAGTATAATTCTATCATTGAAATCAAGGAGAGTCGATGCGTCTTTTCAAAGCTTCAAGAAATTAAGAGATTCCAAGCCTAACTGAAAAAAATATAAATATTGCTTTATGTATGTAAGTGTATCATAATTCTAGTTTGTCTATATGGGATTCAGATGATAATGTATATTCATAAGTGTGTGTATGTTTAGTAGACATTATGTTTTATGGTTATCTGCATGTGAATTTGGAAACATTTTTACATAAACAGCATTTGTTTCAAATAAACACACATTAGATTCTTTAAGAATGAATTCAATAAAAATTCATAAATGAATATGTTTGGAATACTTCATAATTTTATGTGATTATGTTGTGTATAAGATTAAAATCCATGTATTTGGTTATTTATTGTAGAAAAATGAGATTATGAACATGAATTTTTATTCTTATTCTAATGATAGAATTATAAAAAAACAAAATTAATGATCATCTAGTTATACCATATATTAGCAAAATTACAAATTAGTAGCTTGTATGAAGCACCTGAGTGTTTTTAAAAAATTCAATCAATGTTTATATTTAATACTTCCACAAAAACAACAATATCATAATAGATATAAATGTACACTGATAAAAAGAGCAATATTTATTTATTCCATACATAAAAGGACTTACTGAAAGACTTGAAGTTGCTAAGCACATTTTCTTGATCCTTGGTACAATGGAATTTTTTAAGGATGTATAATCAATCAAACTTGCAAATGTGGGAGTGATGTTCAAAACCAGTTCCTGTAAAGGAAAAAAAAAGAAAAAAAAAACAAAAAACAATGATTATTCATGTCTTTAAAATATATCTGTACAATAATTTAACAAATCCCATTAGTCCATTTATTAAGAATTTATGAGATCAAAATATAAAAAAACAAATAAAGCCAATACCCATTCAAAATAATTTTTAAATAGTCTTTAATAGAGAAATGTAAATTTGCTTTACTGATAAATTAACAGTTGAATTAGATAAACTCATTGAATCAAGAGGGATTTAAAAGTTAATCTTTAATAATGTCATAACTGTTCTTGCACATGTAAATAAATCAGGAAAATATTTTATGTAAAATCTTGATGGCACATATAATGAAAGAGAAATATTAGTGAGAAAGTAAAAAATGTGTCAGCTGTTTTTTAAGTATTATGACCAATCTTGCAAGCCTTTGGGAATAATTTTCATCCTTAGCAGGTATTCTCAAAATGAAACTGGAGTTAAAATTTATCTGATCCAACCAGAGATATTATAAGAATCAAATTACAAGTGTGTAGACATTTTAAGACATTTTACATGTGCTAACTTGGTTGAAGTTCATTATAATAAAAACATCAAGGGTGATGAAAAAGGTTGTATTCTCATTCACCTGATTGTTGCAAAATTTGACACAATCTGAATATTTGTTTTCATTTTGAAAATCAAGCATAAATAGAAAATAAAATAAAGACTGACTCTAGTTCACAAGGTCAAGTGTTAATTTACCTGAATTTGGGGGTCATTGGACTCAAGAGCATGATAGACCATAGGCAATACGTGATTTTTAATGTCTGTGGCACTGGTCTTACCCAAAAGTAAAGTCATGTTTTGCAGGAATATTAACAGAATCTACAAGAAAAAAAAGCACAATAATTAAAAAAACAAAAAAATATGAGGTACAGCCAATATTAAAATGAAAAGAGTTTTTTTTATAAGTCAACAATGTAAATTACAATATTTCTTGCTTGGTACTCACATTTTCATTTGCAGAAAACAAACAAAATAAAATTTATCTTCACAGCTTTCAAAAATGGATCTCAAAAGGAAAGGACACATATACACTTACATAACAAATCTGATAAATTTTATCAAGATCATTTCATCCAGTGGTTCCTAACCCTTTTTTCTCTGTGTTGGAATATGATAAAAAGTATATTAAAAATAAAAAACAGAAAGATGGTTAAAGGGATTCAAAGTCATAACATTATCATTGATAACACTCTCCTTAATTTGCAGACCCTAGTTACTATATTCTTAATGATATAATGCAAAAATATCACAATGACAAAATTGGTCAATAATTATTTATAACTATTTATACTGGGACTCATGCATGCAATTACATGTAATTCATATTTTTAATTTTGAAATATTTACATTTGGCTTATGAATTTTTTAAACTGTTTTGAAATCTTTGATAGTCTTTCAATCATTCCACCCCACCTCAAGCTGTGATAGATAAATTGTTGTCTAATTTATGCAAAAATGAAAATAATACCGACATCTCATTTTAACATATTTATCAAAATTACACAAAAATATCTTGAAATACTAGAGTAAATTTATTCAATAAAATCACCATTGGCTTCAATCACAGCCTCCTGATGCCTTTGGAATTTCATGAAACTCTTCTGGATAGTTTGATTGTTTAAGTTGGTGAATGCTGCCATAATCCTTGCCTTCAGTTCATGTTTGGTGTTACAAGGACTTTTGTTGGTCTCTCGCTCAACTGCATCCCACATATAATCAAGGGGGGTTGCAGTCTGGGGAGTTAGGTAGCCAGATGTAAGGGGGGATGTGGTCGCAAAAATTCTCTGACAGCCATGACTGGGTTCTCCTGCTTGTGTGGCATAGTGCATAGCCCTGTTGCCAGTAGCCACTCTCTTGACCCAAAGCAGCAGTGTTGAGTCTGAGGTTCTTACCAACAAATTTGGGAATTCTTTTCTTATTAGAACAATCAAAGTGAGATTTCCAAGCTGCTGTACCTTTGTAATAATCATCAAACTAACCCAACTCTTTCCAAATTCTCTGCACTGTCCTCAGATTGACATCCAAACACTCTGAAATGTTTGTACTGGAACTCCTGACATGAATGCCAAGCAGTACAGCATGCTGTTTCCAAATTTCTGGCAGAGTGAATTGCATCAGGGTGCTCTTTTGCTCAAAGATGGTACCTACCTGACACTACTATACAGTGCAGTCAAGAAAATCAAAAACAAAGCACATGTGTGAAATTAAAAATATAAAATGGTGACAATTTATCAATTGCACCCTGTATATAGCCCCATGCATTCACAATGTTTCTGTTGCCAAAGTTTCATAAAAAGAATCTGTCAAAAACAAAGACAAATAGTTGATTTGCTTGGCATCTTTCGACTATGAATGTGTATGTCCATTAGGTTTCGAACAAAACTGGCAAATTTACATTGTAGAGATCATTTGTCCACTCAAGATCTGATATATGTCAACATCATTATCCTCATCTGAATCAGTCAGTTCATCACTTGCCAGAAATGTTGATATCCAATTCTTCTTGCATTTCTTCAAGTTTTTTTCATTTTTTCCCCCGATTCTACAATAATTTGGAATGTATATTCCACAAATGAGTGCTCTGAATCACTATACTCCATTTTATTGTGATGCTTGATTTCTTGTCATCAAAAAAAGATGAAAAAAAAAGATGGCAACACTTGTATTTTCATTGCTAATTGAACAAATGGTGGAAGTAGCACATTGTCAAAGTCTCACTGTATGTGCCTTCCTCTGCTATTTGCAATGATGTCATATATTATGGTAGAGTACACATGGGGCAGGTCGAACATTGAGAGCCTGTATTTACAGAGCAGGTTTGTGCATGATGAATGCTAAAGGGTTACAGGGAAAAACTTACCTGTACAGGTTTCTGTAACTTGAACATGGGGATGAGTTCAGGAAAAATGATGCTGACATATTCTTTGTCAGTTGATTGTTCAGCCACATAGAGAATACTGGGAAGGACAAAAGGAATCATGTCTGGATTGACACATTCTTTGAACAAGGGCGGTAATATTCGCTGCTGATTGACCCTCTGAAATCACAAAGTTAAAAATACGATGAATAATATCACATTAACAAACAGTCATTGAAAGACTGAAGAAGAAAAAAAAGACAAAGCACACAGTCAATATATTCTTCTTCAATCTGCTTCAACTGTATTCATCCACAAATTGTTTAGACTTGTATGATTGGCCAATGTAATCTTCAGCTTTCCAGAGATGGGTGATTCATCTGCTTGTTTTTTTTCTTTTAGAGATGATTTTAGATTTAGATGAAAAAGGATTGTGCCTACAAAACTAATCTATAATGACAGAGTTGTGATAAAAACAAGCATCAAGAGATTAGTCCAAATAGTTTGAGGAATAATGATAAAGACATTTTCATTTTTACCTAACAAGATTGTTATTTTCACCTATTAAAAGTAGCTAAAAACCAGTAACAAAAAAATTATAGAACCAAACAATGTTTTAAAAGTAAAAATTAAATGAATTAAGTAATATTTTAGTTTTTTCTGAAATTTTTTCACATTTAATGTATGCATAAGCAATATTTTGTTATATTTTTTTGTAAACATATATATTATTATTACTTATATTATCAACTTAAAATATTTTAAATATGAGGATTATGAGTGTTTGTGTGAGGAGGTGCTGAAAAGTACTTTGCCCATTCAAGAAAAGAAGCTTTTAAAAAAACAAGAATCAGATGTATTGTCATTTGATCAGTTTCATTTACTTTTCAGCAACTCCTTAAACATTATTGGAAGCAACTATCTTATTCACAAAAGTGTACTAAGTAACTTATGTTTCTAATGTTTAAAAATTCAAGTCTTTCTTTTGGTAGATAATTTCAAGTTGATATTAATGATAGTTCATTGTACTAGTGGGGGGTTAACATGACCCAGCATCCTCTGTCAAACTAGTGATGAGTAAAGAGTGAAAAGTAAAACCAGTATCTATTCAATTGTATTCCTGTTAATCTGAATTAATTCCTTTCAATCTGTTGTGTCATAAATAGGAAAAGTTGACACACATAGAAAATAAGTAGTTTATTCTGGAGAATAATATGATACATGGTTGAGTACACAGACTAATATAATAAACAGTTAATCATTAACTATTCTCGCTCAGTAAGCGAGAGTGCTGTTTAAATAGTCTAAGACTATTCCATCTTGTGGAGGTGTTCAGCTACTCCACAGTTGAAGTCTGACAAAAACAATGGTCATTTAAAAAATTAAGAAAGTAATTCTTTTGATCATATATTCAACTCCATTCATGACAGATTAATACAATAATAAGGATGTTCGTTCTACTTCCAATCTTTTGCACTGATGCTGAACTTGCCAAAAGCCTTAGTACTGTATCATCCCTAAATAAGTACACCCATACTAATTTTTTCATAAAAAGTTAATTTTCTTCTAAACCAAATATACTCAGAGTTTATTATTTCTAGCAGAACATAAGATCAAAACCGATAATATATTAGCTATTATTTATTAACAAACTCTACATCATTGAAATGAACACTGTAACCAAAAATATGAATATGTAGCACTCTAAAAATAAACATACCCCTGTGAAAGAATTATTTAAAATCAATATTTGGTGTGATCACCTTTATCTTTTATTACTGCTTGTAGTCTTGATGAAATTGACCTCACTAGATTTGAAGAATTACTAGAACATTTTTCCAGTCCATCACATAAATGTTCCTTTGAACTTAAATCTGTGATATGCTAATCCAACCCTTTTACCTTTGGTTTCTGTTGTATTTTTTTGTAGATTATTTTAGATTAATATCATAGTGGAACAGAGTTCTTCTTGCCAAGTGACCACAATGTTTTCTTTCAATATTTTGAGGTAATTTTCATCATTCATGATTCTTTTGATGAAATGAAGCTCACCAGTATCATTAGAACTCAGACTATGAATTTTCCAACATCATGTTTGTTATGACACTCTTTTCTTTGTACACCTCACCATGACAAGACTGTTTTTAGCTTGTAGTGAGTATGAAATAATAACTTCCATCACCCACTCCCTTCACATTTGGAAGACTGAGGAAGAAGGAAAGAAATTTGTGAGCCTATGTAAGATTTTTGCCTTTCACAAAAATTAACCTGTTATCCGAGAAGAAGGAAAGAAACTAGCAACCCTATGTGAAATTCTTTTTGATATAAAGTGAGGGGAAAAATTATATTAATCAGAGAAGATTGTCTGAAGTCACGTGAAAGGTTTCACTTCAGTTCCTCGTGACCAACGTTGAAGTACTTGCTTGGGTAAAATTACTCATCAATTATATTATCGGCCTCTAATCAGCACATGACACTTCAAAGAATTTTCTCTCAACAATCCAAGAAAGCTAAATATTTCAAACTATCTCTCTTCATCTACTTTTGAACATATGCAAACTATATATTCCTTTAGTGAGCAACAAACTTTCTTACCTTTGTCTTAAAAAACATTTTTGAATATCATTTTCTGTCAGATCATTTAATCTGTTTTATGAAGATTTCCTCTTCATGGCAATATCTTAAAACTACAGACTTTAAGAATCCTGATTTATTTCCCAAAACAAGGTACTGACACAACTTCACATGTGTAAATTTGTGAATAAATTCCTTACCTTGTTTTGTTAAAATTACATGTGTGTTTCCTTGTCATTATCATCCTTCATTAATTTTCTTGGTGTGGGTAAATCAAGTGTTCATTTTAACCCCTAAGCCCCACACCACACCACACCAACCTGATATTCAGTAGCTGTTTTCTACAGTTTTCAGCCCTGTAAGCCTCTCATCTTCAGAAAACATTTGATTGTTGTAACTGAAACATTTCTTTTACTTAATTAGCAACATTCACAAACAATTTTCTTGGGACTTCATCCACCAATTTTCTGATACAACAAACTGACTTTGCCTTGAGGTCAGCTTGGTTTCTTCTGTACATCTCTAACTTTTCCATTTTTCATCCAATATTGACAACAGTACTTTGGCTACAATTTTCTGATAGTCATGGTTCTGTTTGAACAAATAAATAATATTGTTATGAAGTGAAATTTCCTTTGTATTTTATTAGACCAGCAGTAGTCGTTTATCATGCACACCAAGAACTGCCTTAACCTTACCACTAGGGAATTCATTTACTTTATGCCTTAGCTACGCTAATTAGATAGTCATTTACATATCACTACAAATATATTCTTTAAAATTAGGAGAAAACTCTCGACATTTTTTTAGCCATCTATATACTGAAAACTATTTTGAAAGGGCATACTCTCTTTAAATTCAAATTTACTTAAATCACTAACTAAAAAAATCAAATCAATGAGTTGCTAGATAAAATGAAAAACTTCTTTTGCAAGGATACACTTGTTTTTGAATTGATACATATTCATAAATTTGTGTGCTGTGTTTCAATGCTGTAGAGTTTGGTAATGTTTAATAATATCTGTTTTGATTGTGTAATGCTCTACTGGAAATATTAAAATACTGATATGCTTGGTTGAGAAGAAAATTAACATATTAAAAACTTTTTAGAGGTATTTATTTATGAACGGCACTGTAGAACCTACAATAATTACTATACAACAGAAATTTTAAAAAAAAACAAAAAACAGTTGTGCATACCTTTGGCAGTTTGGATACTATCTTTGGTAAACCTTTGAAAAATTTGGATTTCTGTAAATTGTCTCTCTGAAACAATGTATCCAAATACTGAAGGGTCATAGAACCAACATCTTCAAAAAAAGGAATCTGAAAGACAAAAAGGACTAGGAATGTTATAAATGTAGAAACCTTTAAGTGGGTAAATCAAAAGAAATATTTTCAATGAGACAGTTTAATTTATGATAGGAATTATTTATTTTAACCTGTCTTATCCAAAAAATACATTAAACATGAATGAAGCAGAATCTGTATCATAAAAGGAAAAGCTGATTCTTTGCATGTTACACACTTTCTGCATCCAACTCTGTATGCACACACACACATATATTTTTTTTTTTTAAGCATTACGCCCCGAGCAAGGCATGAAGCCACTAGGATGCAGGAGATTGCAGAAGATTTGGAGCAAGAGCAGATAGGAGTGATAGAAGAAAGGATGAAGAGAGGGGTAGTGGATAGATCAAGGTAACTGGAGATGTCAACTGACATTATATTTGAATAGTTGGAGATTATAGCTCTCAGGGAAACAGTAATTGGGAAGGGTAGGTGAGAGGTCCTGCCAGGTCCAACTCAACTCAACTGAAGCTATTGGAGTAGAAGAGACGGCTACATTTAAAATTAATTCTGTTTCTCCAGTGTAAGGGTGGGAGGGGATGCCAGCCTTGTCAGGTGACCGCTTTGAGCTAGGGCGCTTTCTTTCTTTTCTTTTCCATGAATTCATGGAGTCTGGGAACCAGTGAAAGCAGCTCATCGGAGCAATTACCATTTTTTTTATACGTCTGAAAAAATTTGTAGAAAAGACAGAGAGAGGTCCCTCTTTTACCTCTTTGTTTTCCCTGATAGTAAAATCTTAATTATCTACTTTGCACATCTGTGAATTCTTAGAGAGTGACTGTAGACAAGACGCCTCTTTAGATCAGGACCAATTATATTACATATCCGTCTCTGGATCTTGTCAAGAACTTCCGAGGTAAACAGAAGGTGCCCCAGACCATATATGGCAGCAATACTCCATGCAAGGGGTACTTAGTAATGGTTGATTTGTATATTTTAGAAGTATTAAATCGATTCCAGGAGAAAAAATTTCTGGTGGCATGAAGCCACTAGGATGCACAGAAGATTTGCCAACTTTCCTCACGGTGGAAGAAGCAATTGACTCAATGTATTTGTTCCATCTCAGGTCAGCAGTCAATCGGAGCAATTACCATGAAAGACCAAGCAGACGAGGAGTTGCTCTCAAGAAGTTGACTACCAGACATTCTAATGGGGGGGCAGGGAAGGATCTCTATGGTGATTAATAGAGAGAAGTTTAATTCTTGAGGCGTTAAATGTTGACCAGCCAATTCTTGCCCCAATTAACAAATGGGGGGCCTCTATGATTGAGGTCCATTTCAAGATGCACAGCCAGGTTAGTTTTGTCACCGACACTAGATTTGTTTTTGAGGCAGGAGTAAATTGTAGTGTCGTCCATGTAGATGCCAACTTGGGAATCTATGGCGTCAGGAAGGTCGTTGATGAAAATAAGGAATAGAGTGGGGCCAAGGATGGAGCCTTGGGGAACACCTGCGTTCGTGGGATAGGAGCTGGAAGAGAATCCGTTGAGAACGACCTTCAATTCCCGGTTTGACAGGAATGATTGTATTAAGTCAAACAATCAACCTGTAATACCATAACCCTGGAGCTTACGAAGAAGGCCAGCATGCCAAACCCTATCAAACGCTTTGGAGATGTGTAGGGCCACGGCACGAGCCTCATCGTTATTTTGAAGGGCTTGGTAGACGGTTTCAGTGATGGCCGTAAGCACATCAGCTGTAGATCGGGCGTAGCTGAAGCCATATTGCTTGTCTGAGAGCAGATCATGGGATGTGAGGTGGTTAACCACTTCGGCATTGATTAGGGCTTCGAAGACTTTGCCGAAGAGGGGTAGGAGACTAATAAGACGGTAATTAGAGGGGTCTCCAGAGTTCTTAAAGACAGGAACAATGGATGAGGACTTCCAGCAGTCAGGAAAACAGGATTCCTTGAGGCAGTAATTATATAGTTTAGAGAGGGCGGGCGCTAGCTCAGCGCGCATTTCTTCAAGACAATGGCTGGTATGCCATCTCCACCACTAGCCTTGTTTGGGGTCTAAGTTGGGGATAATGCCCAATACCAATGACGGGGTTATGTGTAAGCCGCTCAATAGGGCCTCAGCTCTTAGAGGGAAGTCTGGTATGGGTACACCGTAGGAGTCGAGCGTTGAATTAAATGAGAATTTCCGAGCAAAGCATTCAGCCTTGTCAGTAGAGGAGGTCAAGACCTCGAACTGGTTGAATAAAGGAGGTATGGAGGGTTTTCTATTCTTCAGGACACTCTTGCAGTGCCGCCAATAATCTTTGGAGCCAAATTTGCGAGATGCAATACGCTCCTTCATCCGAGCAGCAAATATTGACTTAACCGTTGAGGGCGCCGCTTACACTCGTTACAGGCAGAGGCAAAGAGACGTCTATTGCAGTCCAACATGTCGGTACGAAATAGGTGAAAGAAGTGGTTCCTATGGGCAAGCAGTGGAGAACCAAGGGGAGGAGTGCAACTTGACCTTAAATTTCCTTGAGGGGATTAAAGCGTCGATTCCAGCTTTAACCCAGGATGAGACCTCAGAAGCACATTCTTGGACAGGGGAGTGTAAAGACAACATCCCAGGGGACATCATGGAGGAAGTCACGGAACAAGTCCCAATCCGCTCGATGTAGTAGAACGAGGTTCTAGTGATGGGAGATTCTTTGCAGGGTGGAGTTGAAGAAAATGTTAACAGATACTACAGCATGATCGGAGTTACCAAGAGGGCAGAGCAGCATTAGAACAAGTAAATGAAGTGTTGGAGAGACTAGAAAGAACTGGTGCATTGCAAAGAGTAAACCATTCGAAATGGGCTGCACCAATGTTGTACGCAAAAAAAAAAAAAAAAAAAAAAAAGACAAAATTCATGTTTGAATGGATTTCTCGGCTGGATTAAATAGTTGTCTTGAAACACACAATTACTCATTACGAAATCCAGAAGAAATTTTTTCAAAGTGGTATGGCAAAAAAATATTTTCAAAGCTGAATATCTCTGAGGCATATTTACAAATTCAGAGTGAAAAATCAATGTTCTGAATTAACAACTATAAATGCACAGAGAGGGTTTATATGTTTAATCAACTTCCTTTTGGTATAAATGTGGCATCAGTTATTTTTCAACAAACCATGGATACCATACTGGCAGATTGTGATTTCACAGTGGTGTAACTGGACGATATTTTGATCATAAGTGTGCTGAAAGAACATGTTGGGCACGTCAAAACAATTATGCAAAAACTAAGAGAATACAGATTTAAACTTAGTGAAGAAAAATGTGAATTGTTGTTGCCAAAAATAAATTACCTGGGTCAAATCATTGATAAAAATGGTAGATCTGTCGAGATCCGTCAAGAGCAAATGCAATTAGAAACATATCTACACCAATAAACGTAATTATTTTATAAGCTTTTTTAGGACTGGCTAATTATTATTGTATTTATGTACATAATATACATAAGTTGACAGCACAGCTCCACTTAACAATTTACTGAAAAAGGAGTAAAGTGGAATTGGGATCATAAATGTTAAAAAGTCTTTGACAAGATTAAAAAAAAGTCTTCTGTCTGATTTATTGCTAATGCAATATGATCCAAAAGCAAAAATTGTAGTAACATCAGATGCTAGTGACTATGGTGTTAGAGCAGTGATTTTACACAAATAAGATGGTGGTAAAATGAAAGCTTTCACTCATGCTTCACACTCACTTCTACTGGCAGAGAGAAATTACAGCCAAATAGAGAAAGAAGCTCTGGTAATCATATTCACTATGAAAAAATTCCATAAATTTATTCATTGAAGAAATTTCATGTTGCAAACAGACCATAAACTGTTACTAGCAATGATTCAAAGAAAGGTATACCTATGCCTACAGGTAACAGATTACAGTGCTGGGGTATCATCCTGTTAAATTACAATTTTATGATGGAGTACCAACTGTCTAAAAAATTAGGACATGCAGGTGGATTATCTAGGTCAATACCTAAAAATGTAGAACCAATGGAGGACATGATAATAGCAGTGCTAAAAAGTGAGATGGAAATTAAAAGCATTCTGTGCAACGTAGTACAGGAATTACCAGTTACACAGGATGAAATTAAAGAAAAAGCAGAAAAGGATGTATTTATTGCTAAAATAAAGAATCAATTAAAAAAAACTAAAAAAGAAAAGAATCAAGAATTGAATGCATGCTCAATATGTGATGGTGTTGTTATGTATGGACAAAGAATCGTAACATTGAGTGTGTTACAGAAATATATATTAAAGAATTTTAATTCTGGACATCCTGACAGTTCAAGAATGAACTCTCTCATCAGAAGTTTTGTATATTGGATTGTAATGGACCAAAATATTGAAAAAAAACAGTAAACGCATGTAGAAGTTGTGCTCTATCAGATAGATAGAACCTTAGCCCAAGGCAGACAATCTATGGTCAAGATTGCATATAGATTTTGCAGGTCCTATGGATAGAGCTGGTGATGGTTGATAGTTTTATGAAATGTCTGGAAATTTACAAATGCAAAAATCCTACATCTTCAGTGACAGTGAATTGTTTGTAAGATATGGCATACCAGATACCATAGTATCGGATAAAGGAACATAATTCACTGGAAAAGATTTTCAAGTTGTTCTGTATAGAACCTATTATGACCCCACCATATCACCAAAGGTCTAACAGACAAGTGGAACCGTTTGTGGGATCATTCAAAAGAGTGTTGAAAAAACAAGTCTAAACAAATTAAATGAGGAAACACATCAAAAGTAGTTGTTAAGAGTATAAAGGTTAACACCTAACCCCAACACACCATCAGGCATGTCGCGGGCAGAATTGATGTTTGCCAGAAGGGTAAAATTGGTGTTTGACAAGTTACTGCCAAATTGAAAATCACGAACAGGTAATAAAAGCGATACCAATACTTCCAAGGTTGGCAATAAAGTATTCTTTAGATCATACAAGGATGGAAAGGAAACATGGGAAATATGGCATAATAGCAACTAGAATTGGAAAATTGGTATACATGGTGAAAGGAAAAAATTCCAACATGAAAGGCACCAAAATCAGCTGAAGAAAAGATTAACTGTTGAAAGAACTGAAGAACCAGTTAAAATGCTGTACATTTTTGATGTATCGGTACCAAAATAAATCATGGAACCAATAAAGACAAGTTCAAGAAAAAGAAAATGTACAGAAGAACTAGAAGTGGATCCAAAGTAAAGTAAATTGATGAACTCTCCAGAAAGAGGATGAGGAGATACTAATATGAAATAAAAATAAAATATATTTATTTAATAAAGTAGTAATCTCAAAAAGTGGTGGTGGGGATGTTGTGGTGTAAAGAGTACACCCCCAGTGATTCTATGAACTCATCCAATAAAAATATATATAAAGAGTTCCATGGTATGTGGTTAGTAGTAGTCATATTGGGATCAGGCAGTTTGCTGCCAGGCTCACAACAGACTTGTCAAACTCTCTTCTTTTGGGCAGAGAGGAACCCAGACGAGGATATGCCTATGGGCAGAGTCTCATCTGGGGAGATGGACAGACTTGACACTGGGTATGTGAGGTCTAAGGGGAACCTTTGTACAAGCATACAGGCTCGGGATTGCACCACATAAAAACCAGCCTTGTGCCATATCCCGCCTCATGGGAAAGATTGGGTAAATACCAGTCATATTGGAGTCAGTCTTCATACTAACTATAGAGGCATTATGGCAATAGCCTAAGCATTACGTATAGATAATACTTAAACGAATTATGTTATACCAAGTTCGAGTGTGTGTTATAATATTAACCTTACAATAGGAAGTTATAATACTTAGGTATCACGAATCTGAAGTACCTAGTTAAAACTAATGGCTGTTAGTCATAAAAAATCAGATGAAAATGCTGACAGAAATTATTTTAATTTTCGTAATCTGCATTGAATAGTTTTCTAACCATTCTCTTCTTTTTTGATGAAAAGCATAACCAGAAAATCCATAGAATAATTTACTCATTCTTCTTGTATTTTAATTTTTCTTGTTTATTCAATTACAAAGAGATGATCTTTTAAAAAATATCATTACAAATTCAAATATTTTATCAAGAAGAATTCAGAATGAATATCATTATCTCATACTAATTCAATTCTTTTATCGTTCTTTTTAAAGAGAGGACAGTAAAAGAATGTGATAAACTAAATAAGGAAATTATGTAGGCTAAATTCTTGATTGAGAAATAGAAATATTTAAAAATAAGGTTTTTGTTCTGGATGACTGAAATAATCAATACTTGCCTTTGTCAACTGGTCTGCATCTGGCCGTACAGAAGGTTCTGCATTCAGCAACATTTTGACATGTTCACGTACCTCATCAGGAACACAACCAAGCAAAGACTGGCGCAAGTGACGCAGCTAGAAAAGAAAATTTTTAAAAATGAGATGTTTGGTAAATTTATCAACCATCTAGCCCTGATATAAGTTTCTTGAATATTTCTTAATTTATAGATTATTATAGCTGTAGTTAATTATTGATCACTTTTTGACAGAATTCTGATAGACTGAAAAAAAAAAAAAAAAAAAAAAAAAAAAAGGCTAAATTCTTGTGATTTTTCATGTATTATATAAACAGAAGAGAGGGAGAGAGAAAAAAAACTAAAATTGTAACACTGAATATGTACTTTACGTTAGTGATGGTTAAATGTAGAGATAATATAGGTGGATTATAGTAAATGATCACATATACAAATCAATACATGCACAAGTTCCAAAATAAAGAGTGTATCAAGAGTACTCATACCCCATATTAATACTATATATATATATATATATATATATATATATATATATATATATATATATATATATACTTAACACAGGTGTGTACACGTGCATGCATACAATCATAGAGATGGGAAATACCATCCTTCAATAAATTATTCCATATTTGTTGCACCTGTTGACAGTATGGCAACGTAGATGGCCTAACTGAACAAGATGAGCCTCATCTCTTCATACTTCATTCATGCTTAATGGTTAATGTGATTGTATCATCCAGGGAAGTTGTTGAACGTCTTGAAGGGTATGTTGAGTAGTACAGGCATCATGTAGGTGGGCATTATTCTGCTGGAACAGCATATGGTTTTCTTGCTGAAGGAAGGGCAACAGATGAACAATATCCTAAATGTTCAAGGTTCCTTCTACAAACACCAAAGGCAAGCAAGAGTTGTAACTTAAGACCTGTGACATGATGCTAGGTGTTAGGTCTGTGTATTGTAGGTAAATACATTCTGGAATATGTCATTCTCTAGGTCTACGCCACACACACACATACCCAAACAACGATAACATGCATGAAAGCATCACTTACTCTCATCCCTGAACACTAAAACATGCCATTTAATCTTTAGTTGACCCTCTTATAAAAACAATGGAAATATTACAACCATGTTATAAACTAAGGGGAAGTCTTCACAAAAGCACATGTGCCAATAACCCTGCTGCAATTAAATGGTTCCATGTTGATACTCTAGGGTCTACATTTACTTTGATCTGTGCTGTGGACACCATATAGCCAATCACTGCTTCCCTTACAATTCAGGGATCTTGGTGAGCCTATATACTATGTGATTGTTGAAAACTAGCTCTATGGTTATAGGAATGTTCTTTTGACCACTGTTGGCATCACCAATGCATCACATCCACTATTTCTCAGAGATGATAATCCAGCCTCTCAAGTCCCACAGTCTGAGCTTCCTTAAATGACCCTAATTGAACAGAAAGTACATGTGTACATCTTCATAGCATGATACCTGCATGTACTAGGCCCTTTCAACATATTGAAACTTAAATCATCACCATCATCTACAGGCCAAACACAGACAGTGCTCTAGTATTAGTTTTACTATATGACAAGATAACCGAAGACTGAAAATTTCATTAGAATATCTATTACTTGCTAGTAAGTACAGACATCTTCAGGATGTTGCAATTTAAATTTTCATCAGTATATATATATATATATATATATATATATATATATATATATATATATAGTGCCTAATGGTGTAAATTGGAAAAACATCCAGAAACCTCAAATAAAAAAGATTATATGAGTATCACAGAGATATGTTGCATAACAACAATTTAAATGCATTGGCAGTTCACTGTAATATATCTGATTACAATTTTGATTTACTAAATTCCAGTCTGATCAGGAAAGAAATGGATTCACTAAGAAGAAATGCATTGAAAATGCGCTTATCTCACAACACTTGATAAAAAAAAATGTAAGACCTGTATCATGCATATCACTGATAATCGTGAAAGCAATAGCAGCACAATGTATTCTGTAATAGAGGAAAAACAAATATCTACTTGGAGTGGGCTGATTTAGACATCAACAGACCTAATATATGTTAAAAAAAAAAAAAAAAAAAAAAAAAATTCTGTTTTCTTGTTGCCAGATCTGATAATTTATTGCCCCTCATATCCTCAAAAATCCCAATGCATTTTCCTTACACACAGTCTTGTCTTTCATTCCAACTTGAAAAATCCAAACCTAACACATGTTCCATAGGCAATATGTCATTTAAAAGCTTTTCCACTTTGTTGTGTGTGTGTGTGTGTGTGTGTGTGTGTGTGTGTGTGTGTGTGTGTGTGTGTGTGTGCAGCGAGAATGCGTTTGAACATATTTTACTGAAATCAACTAATATGGTCTACTTCTTTTTATTATATTTTTTTCAATTGGCGTTTAAGCTTTATGACAAAACTGTTCAAAGTTTATGCTTTTGTTTGAGTAGTTTTAAAATTTTTTTTTTTTTTTTTTTACAGCTTATCAATCTTTGTAAGGTTATTTAAAGCCAAAACTTATTTTGGAATTCAAATAATTTTGTAGGGAAATAATAATTTTCTGATACAAGTCCTACTATTGAATAGAAGAGGTAGATTCATACTTTTTCCAAGGGTACTTGCATGTAAGTAAATATAATAAACCTAACTGGAATCTGAATTTGGCGCTCTGATTTCTCATTCTGAGTCATTATACACTATGCCACTTAAACTTGAAGCACTAGGTATTCCCAATTGGCCACTAATCTAGGTACTGACCAGGCACAATGTTGCTTAACTTCAGTGTTCAGGAGAGAATTGAATATTTTTGATGATTATTATGAGGAGCATAATAGAAAAAAAAGATTCATTCTGGCAATTTTTAAAAATGCTATAATTTAAATCTATTACAATCAGATATTCAAATGTATTGAATGCAAATGATATCATGTATAGAAAAGGTTGTAAAGGTAATGACTTGCAATAGGGAAAAGCAATCAAAGAAACATTGAACTTTTGACAGTTCCTTCCTAAATTTGATCTGGAAAATTTTATCATTGGTTGGTTAATTAATTTTATTGTGAAAAAATTGAGTTGCAGGATAACATCTGACAGTGTAAATTGCAATGAAAATAGATGTAACAGGTAACAGAATTATAAAATGACATGTCACTTACTTCTTCCGCATTTTTCTTGAATTCTGATATGTCATTATGGCATTCATAAATAGGTTTACCATTGTTGAAGACAGCAAAGATGAGTGCACCCAAAGAGAACATGTCACTTGCATGGCTGCAAGACATTGTCAGGGAATACTCTGGGGCAAGGTAGTCCAAGTGAGGTTGGGCTACAGGAGGAATGTCACAATCCCAGTCTTTGAAATCAAATGATGGCTAAAGAATAATGAAAGAAAGTAGTGAGGTATATGCAAAATAAAACAAGAACAACAACGAAATATCACAATAAAATATCAAGTTTTCATGTACAATTGCATGAAAAATGATACAAAATTTAAATTTAAACATACATAAGAAAACACTAAAAATGTGTTTAATCACTCATTTTAGTGTAATAGTTTTAATTTAACCCTAAGTATTTGAAATGAGCATCTTTTTACTGTAACATTTATTTGAACTGCAAACTTTTTAAACAAAATTTGAAAACTTGTATATATTTTCTGTGCAATAAATAAAACTTGACTTTTCTTTTTTGATTATTTCGCATAGCAATATTGCAAATACATATCATGTAAATTATCTTTTGATAGGCATCAGCTAAAAAAAATGAGTTATGTTTACTTACATTCTGATCTGAGCTGCTTGAGTTTGGGATACAAAAATCAAAGCCACAAAGTTTCCAGGCACCATTTCGGTTGACTATAATAGTTTCTGGGCAGATATTATGATGCATCATGTTGACATCATTGTGTAAGAAAGCCAAAGCTTCAATTAGCTACAAACAAAAAACATATTAAACAAGGAATAAGAAGAAAGTATGAAAAAGGGCAGATAGAAATTAGCTTTCAATAAAATATTAACTGCTGATATAGCACTATCTTTGATTCTAAAAAAATTGTTAGTATATTTCCTGTAGCAATTTAAGTAAATACAAATTAAATAAGACATTTTTAAGATATTCTAAAATTCCTTGATTCTATTTTGAGCAAGTTTTCTGTTTTATATTTTTTCTGATATTCATTTGCTTATTCAAAATTACTGTTTACATATTTGTCTTTTTGTATTGGAAACAGTTGGCCAACTAATAGATAGAAGTATCACAGCAAATACTAATTTCTTTCTAGTTTGCTAGTATGTTAACTTGCTGCTTTTAGATGAGCAATTAAAATCATATCTTACCGTAAATGTGTTATTAGTCCTGAACTGGCATCTTAGCTTCAGTCATTACTCATTGACATAATATAACTTCCCTGTACCTTTTCTATAAATATTTTCATGGTAGTTATTCTGATGAACTTTCTTTCCTTGGTACTTTGACTTCTAGAATTTAAGTACAGTACTAGATTTGCAGCAAGGTTGCATCAATTTACTATTGAAATTGTTAGATGTAATTATACATTCTATGCTAATAGTTTCTTCTTTCGCATGTTTGTAGAACTCTTTCAACTTCTTGGTTTCCTGTCAACCACGATCTTCAAAAATTTAAATACAACATCAATTGTCATCATCTGTCTTCTTGAATACTGGATTTTTGTTGTCCTCTCACTCCTCAATGTTTTCTCAGTAATCCTTCGCATCTTAGGGGCTTTAGCACCTTGCTTGGGGTGAAATGATTAAAAAGAAAATGCATAAAAATAATTTAACCCCATTTTTTAACAGTTCTTTATCTTTTGATGGGTATCAACTAGTACTTATACAACTGCTAACACCACTGAAAGTTTATTTATATTTATTGAAAGGGCCCTTGTCAAGGTTGGTTATGGTGGTAACAGCTTTTTACTGCTACAATTTAGGCAGATAGGGTAGTTATGGGAAAGTGATGTGGTTTGGCCAAATCCTTGTTCTCTCCTTGTTCAACTGTTCTATCAAATGATGTGTTAGTTTGTCAAGATAGCACAGGGGGAAGTAGATTCATGCATTTCCCAAGAGTATTAGTGATCAGCAGAATTTGAATTAGGTAATTGATTCTGTTTTCTGCGATGATAACTTATACTACTCCAAACCTAAGATAAGTAAGATAAGTAAAATAAGTAAAAGGTTTTACTTCACTGGGTTTAATATCTTGAAAAACATTACTAATCATTGGAGAAAGATTTTACCTGCAGCAGGCCGTATTTGATTTCTACTTCATAGAGTTTATGTTCTTCCAGTTCCTTCGGCAGATTAGATGGCAAATTGTGATAGCATTTCACAATATTAGCAAGACTAGCAAATACAGGCTCAGTAGCAAAGGCTAAACTTTCTCTGTAAAAACAAACAAAAAATATCTCTTTATAGCTGATTTTTTGGCCAATTTGCGATTTTAAAAGACAGTAAAAAACATTGAAAATTAAATTATTTAAATGAAAAGCCACAGCTCTTCAGAGTTACTATTTCCTTTTTAAGCTAAACAATATAAAAAAAGCCAACTCACCTAGATTCTTCCAGGGGATGAAGTACAGAAAGAATTCTTGGGTGCCGTAGACGTGTAAGCTGTGACACACCCCTTTTTAAGACATCTATGATGGTATCTCTGTCTTGTTTACTATAGCGATCAAGTAATTTTTTCTCAAAGACAAATATGGCCACTTCCTGCAAAAGGCAAACACAAATAATCAAAAAAAAACAAAAAAAAAACAAAAAAAACAATACACACATATTTCTAATTAATATTATCACATTATTTCTAACCATCATGTCATTCCTCATCAGCTTTCTGGAACTTGCTCTTAACATGAAAGATTATGTGTGTGCTAGAGTGAAAGACAGTTTTACACTATATTTACCACATACACAAATCTGTGCAAAAAGTGCATCACAGCAAAAGAAAATCTGAAAATTCTGACCAATCATAAAATAGAATGCAACTAGCCAATCAACACACAGTTGGTTTTATAATAGTCCTACTGAAAATATTCGCCTAAATGATCCAGATGATTTAACTAAATTAAATTTAACTAGTCAATCTTGACATATTCATAATCACCAAGAAATGTCGAAGAAATTTTATATCGAAAAATTTTCCAGCTTCATCTATCTTTTCCTAAAATGGAAGATATGTTCTGAAAACAATTTGATTTTGAAAATGCAGATCTTTATAAATTTATTGAAGGTTGGTTTATTACTTTTTTTCTCACTATAAACTCTGTACGCACACACACAACTATTAACCTCAAATACCCATATTTACACATAATTATGACCACTATGCTCTCTTTACTATCACACACTTACTTGCTAGAAGACATTAATATTTAAAAATCATAAGTAGGAGTTTTATAAATGAATTTTTCACTAATTCATGATTTGTTAAAAATAAATCCTTTTGTTAATGTTGCTGCATAAAACTTTATTGATTTTGTCCAACACATTATGATTATTCTGAAGATAAAAAGGTGAGTTGTGCACAATCAGCTTCATAATAGATAAATGCATACCAATTCCAAGTTCATGCTTTATTGTATAAAATATAATAATGTAAAATTACTCATTAAGCATTATAGAGAGAAACAAAAGAATTAATTTTTCAATGATTTTTGTTCGATATCAATGTTTCATAAAAAAAGAAATAAAGAAGGCCATGAAAGAAATGCAAGAATCTGCTCTTGGTATAAATCATAATTATAGAGATGTTGACATTAAGTGTCAATATATGATGCAAAATATATTAATACCATTAGAAAAGTGTATGTTAAAAAATTATTTTTATTCTATAACAAGAAATAAAAATATCTAAGAATATTTTGTTAAAAGAAAAATTGAAAGTTATTGTACAAGCTCACAACACAACTTTTGTATTGTTTAAAATAGGTGTTGAATGATGTTTTATTCTAAACTCCTTTGATAAGTTTAGTGCCCTAATACTTTGTATTTGTTTTGACAACCCATTGAAGCACAACTCTCTCTCTCTCTCTCTCTATATATATATATATATATATATATATATATACACACACAATCAATAGTGACTCCATGGGTTGGGGGGGGCTTGTTGGGCTTAGCCTGAGTGGAACAACATTCAAGTATATCTATTCAAAGCAACAAATATATCTTTCATAGTGTGTTGTCTTCATTCTTGACTTCAGTTGGATCCAAAATGAATTGTTTTAACTCAAAATATTTACCAAAAAATTTGTTGATATCGTTCATAATAAAGAAGAAAGAAAGAAAAAACAAAAAAAAGAAAGTAAATAAAAAAAAAGAATTAAATAAAATTAATGTGGCTAGTTGGGCTGCATAGACCTGAGCCCTATCAGGCTGGAGATATACTTAATAGGCAATGTCTTTCCTGCTTTAATTTTATAAATAATCTTTTAAAAATCTCTAATGACTTGTATGCCCTGTTTTTCAAAGAACACATTTCAACTTACTGTTTTCAAATGTCTATTTTAAATAATTTATTCTGTACAGTATAAGTTTTTTAGTGGAATGTATAAATTGAAAAAAAAAAAAAAAAAAAAAAAAAAAAAAAGCAAATTAAATTTAGCCTGACTCAAAGTTGGCAAAAATCAAAGAATGTGGTAGCCTTAACTGGTCAACTGGAGGGTTGAAGTGTGACTGGGATAGTGTTAATATGATACCAGTTAGCTATTCCTCTCTCTACCATCAGTGACTTGAAAACCAGGCTATAAAACAATAAAAATGGAAAGGAGGCAATAAGCAGACAAGCATATCAAAGACTCTGCCCTCGCTCTTTTTTCTTACATGTCTGGAAATTTTTTTTTAGATAAATGTTTATTTTTATAAAATTATTGCAATTAATATTAAAATACCAAAATGTGTTTTTTTAATTTCATACATAGTGATTTTTAAAAATTATATATTTTAGTTAGAGTAAAGGAATCATTTTAGCATCTAAGTTATACCAATAATAGATTTTTTTTAATGATTGTAATCAGTCCGACAAACATTGATGACCTAGAGTCACCACTGAGAGATATTGGGTAGATGGAGCTTGTCAGCCCCAGCAGGCAGTCCATCTAAGAGAAGGAAAACTCTGATTTTAAACTTCTACTGCCTTATAGCCATATACAAATACAGAAAAGGCTCCTGAAGCCAAGCTGGCTCCAAATGTAATGCCCTGTATTCCTTTTGATCTTGTTGGTATGGTGGAGGTGTCCATGAGGTCTGGGCAGTACATGGCCTCCTTATATTATTACCTAGGCCTGCACCCTGGAGAGTTTACTTCAAAAAGAACTGAATCTTAACCAAACAGTGTTACCATTATCTTACAAGACATATGAATGCCTGCATGAAATAGTTTAGTAAAACTCTTTAAAATATAAAACAATAATAAACAAAGAGTATGTTACATTTCTTTAGATGAGGACTATTAGTATATGCTTTGCTATTTAGAGTAGCATATTCATCTAAGGTTGTTGTTTAAACTGTTGTACCCTCTAGCCTTTTTCAGGTGTCTATGGTTGCACTCAATAACCTTCTTGGAATGTCTTTGAAAGGATTCTGAGAATCCACAGTCTATACAACATCAGAACAGTATTCAAAAGCAGTTCAACCCTTTTGAGATATCTCTTCTGAACCAAGATCCCCTTTGAAAAAAGAAAAACATGAGCAAGAACTGTTTTCCATCTCACAGTTTTGACAAGGAATAAAAAGGAAAGATCAACTGCCTCCTAAAAGTAAGGGTGGAGGAGCATCAAAAGACTATGATCTGTGGAGAGTTGGGGTAAAAAAGGTGGACATCAATGCCTATGGAATGAAGACAATAGATAGTGAAGGATAGGATGACTGACTGAATCAGTGCACATGCTAGACACTGACAACTTATTTAGTAGATTTATTGCAGAGATGAATACTAACTGGGAGTGTTTGATTAAGAAAGAAATACATTCATAAAAATTCCACTGAGTCTTGATCCTCATACAGTTCTACAACCGGACTACAGATATTAGTTTTAAGGCTCCAAAATGACACCACTAGATTGTCCAAGATATTAAAACATTAGTTAAAACCTATCTGTTTGTGTTATTTTTTTTTTTGACATTTGTGAGTTCAAGCCTCCGATTTGGTTGTGCTGAAATGTCACATACTGGTTCTGTGAGAAAAACAAAAGACATGAAAGAGACTAAGAAGATTGGTGAGTATTAACTGATAAATATTCCCTAAGTGAATGAGAACAATTTATCTCCATGGACTGAATAAAGGGTTTGGTTCAATTTACTGAAAAAGTTAAGGCTATAACAAAAGACACTTGAAGAAATCTGGAGGATACAACCACCAAAACATTGTGAATATAACAACCAAGACAAAAATACTGGTCCAAATAACAAGGCATATATTAGCTACAAAAAGCACATTAAAAATTTACATAGCAATGTTGATTAAAAGGCAGCAGTTAATATTTACATAGAAACTGAACATTTATAGATCTTAATTTCAATATCTTATATTAGTTACAGCTAGTAAGAGTGAAGCTGTTACCAGTTAAAAGTGTCAAAATGACATAAAAGGAAAGACCAATTTCTATTAGCTATAGTGTTAAAATGTTTTATGTAAAAATTTTTTACTTTGCTATATGTCAAGCTCCTTGACAAAATCCAAAACAAAATCAGCAATAATATTGGTCCTGATCTGGTGTCTCAGCTTCAGTTACTTTCCAACCTCTGTAAGGTTGCCTACCTGTGCCTTTTCTATAAATACTTTCATGGTAATTGTTTGGATGTGCTCTTTGCTATGATACCTAGACTTTTTGAATTTAAGTACAGTACTAGACTGGCATCAAGATTTCACCAATTTACAGTTGAATTGGCTAGATGTAACCATAAGTTCTATGCTAACAGTTTCTTTTCTCACAATTCTCGCTTGTGGAACTCCCTTCCGGTTTCATGCTTTCCAGTCAACTTTAATCTTCAAAAATTTAAATGCAATGTTAATTGCTATCTACTGTCCTCCTGATTACTCTTCTTTTGTTCTCACTCCTTAGTAATGGTTCTGTTTTCTAATTCTTCCACACCCAGTAACCCCTTGTGTCTTAATGGCTTTACTGCCTTGACTGATACAAGCTCAATTAAATAAATAAATTATACCAGAAGTATGAATGTTTTTTCATATAATTTTCTCTAAATATATTTTACAATCTCTCAAGAATGATTTAATAATTTCTGAATGATCTGGTGAATTTAATTTTTATTTATAATATTTCTAACTCTGAATAAAAGACTTCTCATACTTAAATTAAGAATTATCAAAAGGAAAGGGGAAATTTTATTACAGATTTTTAATAACAGAAGGTAAAATAATCTTTAATGAGGTTTAAAACAAACAGACATGACAAGTACAGGATGATTATTTATTTACAAAAACTATAGTTTGACTATTAGTAAAACAGCTCTTTGTGCTGGAAATTAGAATTTGCTTTCTTCTATGTGAAGTTAAGGTAACAGGTAGTAAAGTGAAGTGAAAAAAAATAGATGCAGGGTTTAGAGGAAGACGTATACTGAAATTATTTCATTCAGGTTTGTGTCACAGCTTGTTAGCATTGATTTACATTGTCAGACATAAAACATTGAAGCAGCTGGAAACAAAACTTTAACTAAAGAGTGATTACAAGATTTTTCTATTCAGATCATAAT